TGAAAATTTTGGAGAAGTATTGATATGCAGAGCAAAACAGAATTAAGAGGACCCATGGATGGGATGGGGGGGGGAGTCAAGAAATTCAGAGTAATCTCGAAACGTGAATGTGTATGACATTTTGATGTAGCTTTATTCCTTCATTTTGTTTTTCTTTGTTTTTGAATATATATATATATATATATATATATATATATATATATGAAAACCATCATCTTTGGAAGTCAAGCCTAGTCCAATTCCTTTCAGACCTCTAGCATCCCACAAGAACCACAAATAATGGGTGAAATCAGTATTCTTCGTCAGCCATTTTTGCAACTGCACAGTGGATACATAGATTGCCCCTACTGACCTGAGGGCTTGTGTGCACGACCTTTCTAAATTTATTAATAATATACCTCAGCACATTTCCCGCTTTACAGCTTGTGGACATTTTCACTGCTGTATAAGCTTGCTGAAATGTCAAGTGCACGAACCTTGTGCTGCATTTTATATATAGTTCACTGTTTTGCAGTTAATTCCTAAAAGCTAGCGGGAATCATGATTAATGAAAGCCAGGAGGACGGAGGAAGGTTTGAATCATGGTTACGAGGCTAGGTTTTAACTGGTTTTCCTTTCATATTCAGAGATATTGCGCCAGTTAAATCAAACAAAGTATATCCCTTTTCAGGTAGTTTTACTGCACACATAATAGACAGAGGAAGTACTGTGATGGCAGCCTCCAAATCTTTGATATACTTGTATTTGTTGTGGTCTTAAAAGGCCACATCAACAGAAGTGTATGTATGTTTGGGAGCCCTGCACTCCCAGACGCAGAGTCATTATAGGGCTGTAGAATACGTTCATTTTTTCCTCAATCACTCTGACTCCACGTTTTCACTGTAGAAAGCCTAGGTTGTTTCAGATTTTACTCATTACCATTTCTTTTGTTCTGAGGCATCAATTTGACAGCGTTTCCCCCTCAATAAACACCTTTTAAGATGCTTTGTGCTGCTGTGTTTGGCAGCCGCCATTTTGATTTTTTCCTCAGAATGGCTAGACACAGTGTTTCTGGGCATTTGGGAAGACAATGGCAGTTCTCAATGGCGGCGGCCATTTTGTTCCCCTAGAATGTCCTGGAACGATCCAGCTTCTAAGCATTCTGTGGAATACAAAATGGTGGCTGCTAGGACCAAACAACAATGCCTGCTCCTCTTGCTGCTGGCTTAGCTCTTGACACCAAGCAAGAACTCCCTCTTTTTGAATGCAATGAATGGACATAAATGAGAGTTGCATGGGAGTCCCAAGAGGACTTGGCCCCATTCCTCTTGCGCCTTTGCTTTTAGCCAAATGAACAACCGAACCAGATTAAACCCATTTGGTTCAATTACCCATTTGTACCAAAACAAATGCGCACCCCTGAGTTAACTGAAGATACGAGCAAATCATTTGAAAGGGGCTTATGTCATGAGGTAACTTTACAGAAACGAGGTTGTAATCTTATTCTTTGTTTATGTAATGGTCCACTTCAAAAGCAACCATTTTTGCCACATGCTTTATTCAATGAACCTTTTTAAGTAGAGATCTTCTCTAGGCAGCATCTGTATGGGAATTATTTTTAATAATAATTTTTTATTTATATCCCGCCCTCCCCAGCCAAAGCAGGCTCAGAGTGGGTAACAACAGTAAAATATGTGTTTAGTGCTTTGTCACTTCTTGGTTGCTGCCATGGGCTTCTCTGAGAGGAAGGTTGGATAACATATTTATTTAATAAAAAAATAAATATTTAATTAAAAAAACTTTCACACTTCTAAGCATGCAAGGGTAGATTGACACGATCCTTCCTCTATGTCTGCCTTCTGGTTAACATTAAAATGCAAATAAACAGGTAAATGACTGCAGGAAAATAATTTTAAAATTTTAAAATAATTTTAAAATAATTTCAGTCTGGCCTGTTGAAGTCCTGTGCTGCAGAGCCCAGTGGAGTGAGGCCAGCCAACCAGCAGGGTCTCAGAAGGGTAACCAACTTTTACAAAAACGACAACCCCATAAAAATACAGGAAATACAAGATAAACTAGGGGACAATCCAATACCCTGGGCTAACCCATCACCAACTACAAGCCTTCCTAAACAACCCAGCAACCAAACAGCAGCCACGAAGCCACTGACTAGCTTTGAGAACCTCCTAACAAGAGGGACACAGTAAAGGGGTGGCCTCTACAATATATAAAATATTGACTCCAAGACACTACAGACCCCCTTACCACAATTAAAAGCCAATGGGAGCAGGACATAGGACATGAACTAAACCACACCCAATGGTCATTCCTCCCCCCCAAAAAGTTCAACAACTTTGACGAAGCCTCACCAATTTATTTATACTGGGAGTAGATTGCTCTCTCTTGGAAGTTGGATGTGCCTGGTCTACACTATGGTCTAAACCACAATTCAAATCGAGAACTCACCCTGAAACATATATAGATGGTACCTAACACCACAGAAGCTAGCAGACACAGCCAGGAACTTCATCTAAATGCTGCATTGCAATAGGCACATAGCTCCCTAAAGTCCAATCCTCCTGGATATCAGTGCTGCAGGAAATTTCCAAAATAACAAAACAGGTAAAAGAAGCAACTCCAGAACTCGCCCTATTAAATATCTTCCAGGAGAGCCACACACACAAACACTATAAGGAACTCATAAGTCACTTACTCTGAAGCAGCCTGGGAACTCTTAACCTCTTACAATATCAATAAAAATAGATACACAAAGGACCTACCTGTGTGATGCTGACACAAACCTCCCTAAACTAAGAACAGGCAATGGAACAAAAGACTATCCCTACCCTGACCCAACTGCAAGATGTCTATGACAAAAAGGTCTCTCACCAAACGTAAACTGTGAAAAAGTCTACAAACTGAAAGTGGAGACAACAGATGTACTGTTCCCAGTTTATCCGTTTGCTTTGTAACACAAAAACCCCCAATAAAATCTTTTTTTAAATAAAGGGTACTTGCCTGGAGGCAGAGTCAGTAAGCAAAGTCAGGTCCAGTCCTAAGGTCAGGCCTATAGCAGCTCACGTGGTCAGAAAGTCCAGGGGTCAAGGTATCCAATGACCCAAGAGGAGCAAAAAGCAGCAAGGCTAGACCAGGAACCACATTGTTTCCATCAACTGACTGAGGCTGGAAGCCTTGCTTAAGAAAGGTGGAGCCAGCTGGTTCTCATCAGCACCTCCACCTCTGAGTCCTTGATGGCTGATCAGCAGCAGGTGGAGTCACTCTGCTTTCTGCCTTCAGGCTGCTGTTCAGCAGGTGAAGCTGACTCCTAGCCCAACCTATCCTAGTCCTTCATTCTGTAATGGATGTTGTGTTGATTGGCTTTGAATTGGTGCTTGAGGCAAGTAATGAATACTGCATATGCATCAGGTTGGGGTTTCGCATTTTTTTTTTTTTTGGCCTGTATATAGACTATGCCACCAACACTGGCCTCTCCCCATTATCATATTAAAAACAGATCAGCCAGCCAGACCAGCTTCAGGGTTTTGGAATTGCTTGGGTAAGATCATTGTTGCCATTACGCAGTTAAGGCCCTGTCATCTCTGCTCATTCTGTACATGTATGGCTGAATGACCGCTCCTGTCTTTCCTAAGAAGCCCACATGAAATGGGAGCACCCCAATTCTTTTGCACGCAAAAAATGATGGAAAAGCAGAATCTCTCAAAAGCTGAGAGGCAGCAAGAAATAAATTGCTTGCCGGGAGTCACGGAGTGCTTGACTGCCAGGATTAGCAATGTTTGCTAGAATTACATGAATTAGCCAAGGGCGATGGAAGGGCCTTCCTCAATCCAATATCAACGCGCCCATAATCTAGACTCGAAGGCAAATGCAAAAGGTTCACTCCAAAATGACATTAAGCAAAAACCCACCAGGGTTGCAAACATCAGTCCACGGACACTTCCCTGTCTCTTTTTGGGGCAAGAAATTAAAAACCTGGAGATGTGGCTGCCAATTACTACAAAGGAATAAAGGAGGGCTATTTAGGCTTCCTGGTGCAGCCTTTTTATTATTAAGCCGTTATCAGCTCTGAAAATTTTGCCTGTCTACAATGTGCATGGAACTGTCAACAGCAAATACTTGTTCTCAGCTCTGGAAGGGAAGCAGAGTATGTGAAGTCAAGAGACTGGCAGGCATTGGAGACATCTAAAGACAACCCGACAAAGGTTTAGGATGAGAGCTAGCATACTTGATCCAGACTACATCTAAGAGAAGACAGAATAGCTGCAACGTTTATGCCTTTGAATACTAGTTGCTAGAAATGCTGTTACCCTCACATCCAACTTGCAGGCTTTCCACAGCATTTTGTCGGCCACTGTGAGAAGGACAGAGTATAGAGAGGACATTGCCTGATCCAGTAGGCTTGTCTCATGTTCTTATGTTCCTAATACTGGCCCACTTTGCCACATCTTATTACACCACGGTATAAATTAAGCTCTACTTTAATATTCACCAGCACTACGTTTTCCATGGTACACCTCCATTTTTTTTCTGTTGCCGTGCCACAAATAAGCCAGAATTCAGATTGTCCTGTTGTCTGAACCAGTTTCTTTTTTTGTAGGAAGCAAAGACCAACCAATCACTAGCACTTGCCATTGGTTTGGGGGGAAATGAACCATGTGCCTGGGTTTGGGCCACGTGAGACTTTTCATCTGCGGTGTGGCAGATGAGGGGTACTACCTTGATGCTCATTCGCATTAAGCCATAGTTTTTTAAACCTATGGTTCAGTGTGCCATGTGAACCAGGCCAGGCTCAAAGATGACTGAGCGTAGTTGGGAATGAAATACAGCAGTTGGTGGCAGTGAAAATCTCATTGTAAGCCCCAGTATTGACTTACTTTTCTGCTGCTCTTGACTTCTGCATGGCAACATGTGATCCAGTACAGAATATTGCTTGCTTGATCAAAGCTTTTGGCACCCCAGATCTCTATCTTGCTCAACATTTATCACTTTTATACATTACAGAAGCAACTCCAAGGACATTTTTATACTTTCCAAAACCAAGGAATGGAAACAGCAGAGGCAAAACATAGTACAGCAGACAAAATATAGTAAATTACAGGGAGATTACATGGAGCTGCCAGAAAACAAGAATACACACACCTCTTGGCATTGAACAAGGATATACTATGGAGGTAGTCAACATGGTGCCCTCCAGACTACAACTCCCATCATCCTGAACCATTGGTCATGCTTGCAGGAGTTGATGGGAGTTCTAGTTCAATCCTTGCTGGGAAGCAACTCGGTAATATCAGAGTTCTACTTTTTCAAGTCATCATCCTATTCTGCCTTACATCATTGCAGGCCAGCAGATAATGCTTTTAAACAATTATCACCCTTATGACTATATATGTTGTATCTGCTAATAAGAAAGATTTGGAAGTCAACATATTCAAAGTTAACTGGGAAGCAGGCGGCTTGCTGTTATGGGACATGGCTGCGAAATCTCGTTAATTAACACTAATATTCCAAAATAACAATGGCACCAAACAGTATGGGGGGGTTTTCTTCATCTTAGATTAATAGTTTAGGAATATACTTTCAAAACATAATTTGTATTTAATATGTGGGATTTAAAATGGTTTTTTTTAAAAAAATTAAAATCTCACCATGCTTATAAACAAGCAATTATTTTTTTTAAAATAAGATAGAGGACGTCATGCGAAATAATTAGTTACTAACTTGCATTAAAAACGTGCACTTTGATAGGAAAGGATAACGGTGGTTGATATGGTATTGTGTCTCAGTGAAAAGGCACAGCACAGCTCCAAATCAAAGTAGACAGCTTGGACATTTATTAATGTGACAGATTTGGGAGTTAGAGATGAGCACTGATGGAGAACAATTGCTTTCTCTCGTATGAGTGCAATCTTCAGGTAATTGAGGGTAGCCAGGATTGCCATCTGAAGCACTTAAGAGTGAACTGCAAACAGGCAAACTTGACAACTGTTGTTTTTTTAACTAACTCTTTCCCTGCTCCTGTTGCTAGGGGACATCAGAAGACGGGAATTGCTCACAAGATTGTGTTAAGTTCCTGAAAACACAAGAGCACCATATATGCTTCAGTCTGAACTGGGAGAAATTAAAAAGAAATTCTTTATCCCTCTTATCCATTGCACCCTTGTTGTTGAATATGCGAAGATCCCTGGCTTTATGTAGATGTATGTGAACAGCAGACACTGGATCTGCCTTCTCTGTGGGTTTCCCTTCAGCAACTCTCGACAGCCGATGCCAATACAGATGTGCCATTTAAAAAAGCGACTTGTCTTGCTGGCTGTCAGATCTGCTGTAGTAGGGACAGCAAAGGAAGCCACCACTGGGAGTGTGGGGCTTACTATGATGTAGGTGACAAGGTCTCTTGGAACCACGCATAGCCTGTGTGTCTCCAAACTGCTCACGCACAGGGCAAAATGAACTTAAAAAGTGGCATTTTTTATATTAAGCAATTAACAACAGCCGATTTTCTGCTGAGGAAAGGAAAAAACCAGACACACGTATCTGTTTCATAACATGATAGAGGTAAATATACACTAAATATAAACACACACATGTATTATCAGTTTGGAAGGTTTTGAGTTATTTTTTGAAAGTGTCAATCAGCTGTGTCACTATTTCTTTGCTTATCATCCTTTGACATCTGTTGCGATGAAGAAAACTCTTAACAAAAATTGTTGTCCAGAGTCATGTGGGCAGGTTGGTGCCAGATGATACCTTTTCGGGGGAAGATTTTCCTGCTTTGCGTCTTCGGACCGACATTTTTGATGGGAAGCCTGGCTGCACCTCAGGATGTCAATAGTTAAGTGAATGTTATGGAGGGCTCAGTGAACTGAAAAATGTCCTCATCAAACAACTCATCAGACAGCTGCTCTTCGCCATCAGCGAAATAAGTTGGGAATGGTAAATTCTTGCTGTCATCTTTGTAAGCTGGTAGAGCCGAATCCTTGACCTAAAACACAACAAGCGCAAGAGGGGTTGATAATGAAAAGTGGGCAAAAATTCACTTAGGATTCAAAACACAAAGCTATTGCTCAGAGCACCAGTTGGACTAACTAGGTAAGGAAAGTGTAATGTGAGATGAGAACTTGGGAGGAAAGAAGCTTGTCATTAGACATAATGTGACAGAGAGGACAACAAAAGAAAGATCGGAGAGGTAGTTGTAGAGATGTGAAAGCCTGGGGGTAAAACCTTGGAGTGGGGGCAAAACCATTTTTTCATCATTTTTCCTCCTAATAGAAAAAAAAGAAGAATTTTTTGAGAGCACAGAAGAAAAAAAAGCCTCCTATGAAACATTTCATCTTTTATACTGAGCTAAATACTTAAGATTGTTTTAAGACAACCTATAGCATTAAAGAATGACACTCAAATGATCTGCGGTCATCTGCAAATGCGGCCACTTCACTGCTCTTCACGGATGATTCATGAGCAGCTTTAGAACATTGATCCTTATATGGATGACCAGAGAACTCCCACTTCTCAGTTTCCCCCACTGTGAGAAGTGTCCATTTATTACTATACTCTGCTTCCTGTTCTATAACTAGATATCAACCCATAAGACGAGCTCATCTCATGGTTATTAAATTAATGTGCTCCAGAGACATGAGCACATACAACAGAGTCTCTCTCTTGCTGTCCTTTAGGAGACAATTGGGGGAAACACTGATGTGTGGGTGCCTTGTAGGGTCTTTTATTTGTTGTGTGTCACGGGGGGGGGGGAATGAGCCTGGTTATCGTTTGGATAAATGAATCTGGGGAGGGGCTCAGCTTTCCCACAATGTGTTTAATCGTGAAATGGTCAGCCTGGCTACAAGCACAAATGTTACCAATTCCTTTGATTTAATATCTGCATTAATGTCAACCAAAATAGATAATAAAGTATTGACAAAATGTGTGTATGTATGCCAACACCATCAGTATTTCCAGGTAGTCACGCACAAAGATACTTGTTTTGCCATGCTCCTTGTTCTTTCTAAATTACAGCTTTATCTTTAAAAAAAATTAAAAATAAAACAACAAACTAAAAAAGATCACACAGCAGGTATGTGTTTAGAAATGGGGCATAGGTATTCAACTGTTTAAAATGGGTTTTGGGTCACGGTTTTGCAAAACAGTAAATTAATGCCTTGTAGAAGCCTAGGGAAATGTACATACAAGGCACTGTGCTAGTGACAGCAGAGGTCTCAAGTTTGAACAGCTACAGCTCAGCAGAACATAATCCGCAAAAATTGCTTGAGCATGTAGCAAGCTTAATGCTTAGAAGTAGGGTGAAGTCACAGACCACTTTGCAGTTTAGCAGAGCTCCAGGCTGAATCAGTACTTTGCATGAACAGTAACAAGATGCAAGACACTTACGTAGCAAAAAAAAAGTACCTTTTCCCAAAGTGAGCAAGACTGGAATCTTTTTGCCTCAGTAAAAATGTTAGATATCAAAGGGCTAGGGACACTGAATGCTGCAAGACTTCTTTGCTCTCAACTGCTCCTAGGCTAAGGGTCATGGAGGAAAAAGCACCCTGCAAGAGTGAAGAAACTGTCCCTTGTGAGTTTGTGTGTCCACCATTTCCCAATCCTATGGCTTACATTAATTTCCTTGTTTTAATTAGAAAACGTGCTTTAGATTTTTTTTTTGGGGGGGGGAAATATGCCCCAATTACATTCTGAGCATAGTCAAAATTATATGCACCACAATTTCCCGTCAAATTAGGTTACAACAGCCAGAGGCAGCACAGTCTGCAATGAAGTCCAGCATTTCCATAGCATATATCCTACATGATGAGCTCAGGTGAAGCTCCTAGTAGGAAAGATAGATGAAAAAACTCAGCCTTTGGCATGAGGGATCATGATGAAAATTGAACATAACAAACTGTAGGGCAGGAGCAAAATGGCACACTATTACTCTTAATATTTTTATTCTGCTTAATCTGGCAATCGCCCCCAGAGCACGATTTCTGTTCTCATCCTGAAGCAAAGTTCTTAACCTGAGGTACTATTTCTGGGTTAGCGGAGTTTGCAACCTGAAGTGTATGTAACCCGAGGTACCACTGTAATATCATACAGCCACATTTACTTTAAGGAATCAGCACCCAGCACCATATTATTCAATGCTGTGAGATTTGATTTCAGAAGAAAATCAAATTTCTAATTTTTTTTTCTAGCTCGTGCCACAGTACCAAATTAAAAATGATAATGTAAAAAAGAGAGAGAGAGAGAGAGAGCGCTATCCTGCTTGTTAACAGGCTGCTTTGCAAAGGTCTTACCTGACCAACCACTGAAACATCACTTTGTATTCTTCTGTGACAGCTTTCAATGCTTGCCAGTATCCATTCACAATGTAAGGAGCTTTTTTTGCAATTTAAAAAGAGTTCTTTGCCCAACCTGACACCTTACAGATGTTCTGGACTACAACATCCATCACCTCTAGCCAGTATGGCCACTTGTCTGGATCCATTCCAGTCCGGCTTCCGCGCTGGGCATGGGACCGAGACGGCTCTGGTCACCCTAACAGATGATCTCCGCAGGCAGCTGGATCGAGGCGGGTCGGGGCTGCTGATTCTTCTTGATCTGTCAGCAGCCTTTGACATGGTCGATCACGAACTCCTGGACCACCGCCTTGCCGACGTGGGGATCCAGGGCACAGTCCTTCAATGGCTGCGCTCGTTTCTCTCTGGTCGGGGACAGAGGGTGGCGCTTGGGGGGGAATTGTCATCGCGTCACTCCTTGGTGTGTGGAGTGCCTCAGGGTGCGATTCTCTCCCCAATGCTTTTTAACATCTTTATGCGCCCCCTCGCCCAGCTTGTCCGGAGTTTTGGGCTGGGTTGCCATCAGTATGCTGATGACACCCAACTCTATCTGTTGATGGATGGCCATCCTGACTCGGCCCCAGACACACTGACCAGATGTCTGGAAGCTGTGGCTGGATGGTTACGTGGGAGCCGGTTGAAGTTAAATCCTTTGAAGACAGAGGTCCTCTGGCTGGGGCGGGACGATATGGGATCGAGGGGGCAACTCCCATCTCTTGCGGGGGTGCAATTAGTGCCAGCACCGTCCGTTAAGAGTTTGGGTGTAATCTTCGATACCTCCCTCTCTATGGAGGCGCAGATTACAGCTATAACAAAGGCGGCATTTTTTCATCTCCGCCAAGCTAAGCAGTTGGTCCCCTTATCTCTCTCGCCCTGATCTAGCCACTGTGATCCATGCGACGGTCACCTCCAGACTGGATTATTGTAACTCGCTCTACGTGGGGCTGCCCTTGAAACTGACCCAGAAACTCCAGCGGGTGCAGAATGCCGCGGCGAGACTCCTTATGGGGTCTTCGCTGCGAGATCACATTCATCCGGTACTATACCAGCTGCACTGGCTCCCGGTGGAGTACAGGATCAGGTTTAAGGTGCTGGTTTTAACCTTTAAAGCCCTATACGGCCTAGGACCCTCGTACCTACGGGACCGCCTCTCCTGGTATGCCCCACAGAGAAACCTACGGTCTGCAAATAACAACATCCTCAAGGTCCCAGGCCTCAGAGAGGTTAGGCTGGCCTCAACTAGAGCCAGGGCCTTCTCGGCTGCGGCTCCAATCTGGTGGAATGCTCTGTCACAAGAGACTAGGGCCCTGCGGGACCTGACATCTTTCCGCAGGGCCTGCAAGACAGAGTTGTTCCACCAGGCCTTTGGTCAGGGCGCAGCCTGACTCCCTCCTCTGGCAACCTGCACAGAATTTTGCCTAATCGGTTGCCAACAATTTGATTTTAATTAATTTTATAATGGAATGTTTTTAGAATGTTTTTAGAATTTGACTGTTTGACTATTTGACTGTTGTTAGCCGCCCTGAGCCCGGCTTCGGCTGGGGAGGGCGGGATATAAATAAAATTTATTATTATTATTATTATTGTCGGGAATGATGGGAACGGAAGTCCAAAACATCTGGAAGGCACCAGCTTGGGAAACAAAGCACAACACATTGATGCACATGGCACAAGGTGGAAGAAACAATAAAATCAAGGCTGAGCAAAGCAGTCATTGAATGCACTGTGTTGGCACATTATCCAACAGTTCGAAGCCAAACTTACCTTTACTAAACAGTTTTTATGACCTGGAACACAACCGTGTACATAAATGATATTGTGCTTCACACTGATCCGCCACACCTGAAAGATTAAAACAACCAAATTGAAACCAAAACATTCTGTGGTGGTTTTAAAAATTACTTGCTGTGCTAACTGCAGCGTCTTTCTGCAGACTTTCATATCTTGTGGGGGAAATAAAATACAGCTCCACATCCTCTTTACATAGCAACAGAACAGCACCATCAGCATTCCCAGACCAACTGTGCCTCACTTGTCAAGCAGGCCGGGCTGCACTGAGTACTGAAGAGGCACTTTGGTACTTTGACTTGCGCCTCGACAGTGGCAGGGTCACCACCTCCGGCGATTTCAAGTCCCCTTTCCCCAGCTCCATCAGTGGCCAGTGCAGGTCAGGGAAGTCCTCTTTCTCCCCCTGCCCTGAAGCAATGCTGTTGTCAGCAGGCAAGCAAGAGGGAGAGTGGGAGGGAAAGGCCCTTATTCCACCTCCATGCTAACAGCAGTGTCCGTCTCCTCATGCCTTTGTGGGTTTGCCTCTTGGATACTTAAGAAGAAAATGTGATGTTTGCTATTACGTGAGGGTGATTATGCACTAGGAAGCTACTTTATCAAAGGGGCAAATAAAGGACACGCACCTCACCTTTATTGCACATTCATAAGCCTCACCTTTAGTCCCACCGTTGTTCTGAAGACGTTTCCCATCCGCCCTGGCATTTTCTTTCCCTTGAAAACCCTTGCAACCTTCTGTCTCAAAAATACGAAATACAAGTTAGGCATCGACCATGGAAGTGCTTTTATATGGCATGTGAACAAGAGTAAAATAAGATAAAATAAGATTCAAAACCAAAGCAGGTATTGTGTTAACAACATGCCATAAGTACTACTTAAAAACACATCTTGACACCTATGCACATTTACTTCTAAGTTTTAATGACTTGTGTCACGCTCACTATGTAGGATCCCAATAAACTGTTCAACGTAGAGAGCTCATTGTTTAATGAAATGTCTACATTCACTGGAAGAAACTTTTTCTAAACACTTGTCTTTTTGTAATGACAAAGTCATAGTAACTCAGTTAGGGAAGTTTTTAATGTGTGACATTTTGATGTATTTTTAATCTTTGTTGGAAGACGCCCAGAGTGGCTGGGGAAACCCAGCCAAATGGGCGGGGTAGAAATAATAAATTATTATATTATTTTTTATTAAAAATACTTACACTATTGGAAATGGCTCCAGGTCGCCTGTGTGTTTTAGTCTGGCCATGGGAAGCAGGCTGACCTTTAAAACCCCATCTTCTCATGACTCCTTGGAAGCCTTTGCCAAGTCTAAAGAAGATAAGGCCAAGTCAAATCAGTTTTGAAATAACCCACTTGAAAAGGTAATTTCCCCAATATATGGATTGCCGTTTCAGTACAAGGCACTTATAGAATGCTGTTCAAAAATGCCTCTGTATGGCAGATAGAAAGGCGCATGCGTCCTTTGCAGCCTTCCCTGGGAGTAAGTCACCCTTGCAAAGAAGCCTCCTCTCGCCACAAAGATACAAGATTGCAGGCAGATGGCAGAGGACGGATGGGAAGCTGCAATTCTATGCTGCGTGTGGAGGAGGGAACTTCTTTCTCCATCAGTCCACTTGGTTTCAATGCTTCATGAAGAAGGAACAGAGTGCTTCCTCTCTCCTTAGCCAGCTCACTCTCCCACCTGCATTTAATTCCTGGCCACCTATGACAACCAGACTAGTGCTTAAATACAAAGTTCATGTAAGCCACATAGAACAAGACTTGCTTGCAATGTTAAAGCATGGAATCTACTTCAGGAGGATCTCACATGCAAGTCCCAGTAGGCCAGATCACCTTTTGCAGCCTCCCAGTGAAGTAGAAGCAGAACCACAATAGAACAGCGTCCACGGTCCTATAAATCAGCTTGAAAGGGTATCTTAGTGGATGATACTGAAAGCCACTGAAGGGTCTCAGCAGAATCAAAGGGTCCACACACTGCTATCGTGCAGCAGATGTCAACCAGTGATCAACAAATGAAACTCATCTCTCCAAAATCTAAGGCAGGCCTCGATCAAGCCTTTGCCAGCATGACCAATGATCAGGGATGATAAGGAGTTGAAGGCACCACGTTGACTACCCCTGGTCTGGACACTTGAATTTTCTACAATGGAGTTAAGATCAGAACAGACGCAGGATGGTTTTGGAAAGGAGTATTTTGCAAAAGAAAAATGTGATAGTGGGCCATTGAGGATTCCAAACCTTCCAACTGAAAAACTCTTTAACTACCCAGACTAAGCAATACACTAGGTTGGATGCAGACTAAGTTAGAGTTCAGTCCCACATGTCTCAGTTGGGGCAGGTGAGATATAAGTAACTTAAATTCAACTTTTACAGTGGTAGTAAAATGTAACAAACAATCTCAATTGATTTAATCTTAATCCAACCCATTGTTTATAGAGTATGTACTCCTTTCTCCCAAGATGGGTGCAATTAATAAAATTATGTTGCCAAAACGACATTTTCTTGAGTATAAATCAATTTGCTTTAGAGGTATAGGAAATACTCAAATACAGAAAAAAGGCAAAGTTGCCTATAAAACATGGTAATTTCTTTAGTTGTCAGCATAATTACCTATCATTACAGAAATATCTTATGTACATATTTCAACAGCATTTGTTTTAAGCAAAGTAGAACAGCACAAACATGTTTATTTAACCTGTAATTTTCAGACTGCTGCTCAATGGTCTATTAAGACAGAAGGTATGCAGCTGCATTTGGGCTTTAGAATTAAAAAAATGATCACTTCTGCAAGTTAGCAGAAAGCAGTTTTCAATAGGTTATACCATATAAGGCACTGTCTTTCAAGAGCTTCTTGTATGGAAAACGTTAAGGACTTTCAACACAATCATATGCAGGTTTATTCAGAAGTAAATTCCAGTTCTTGTTCTTAATTTATTACTTATTGACCTTAAGGTCCCAGGGAGCGTGATAACAATTTAACATATAACATTAAAATAGTTTGTTGTTTTGTTTTTTAAAAAATACAATTACAAAAATTATTGAGAGTCCTGAAAATAGACATTTCAGCATTCAACAAAAACTATAATGAAATTGCCAGAGGAAGAAGGTAGTCGAGTTTTGAAATGTTTGATTTACTGTTAAACTATTACTGAAATGTATATAAATGAAAATCATAAATAAAATTATTTTTTTTAAAGAGGAATGTTGGCTTGCAAGAGATACACGAACTGAAGGAAGCAAACTTCAAAGAAGACAGCTCTGTCAACTTTAATCAACCGGCGTAATCCCTGGTGTCATAAAAGCAAGTGTCCACTTCTGGATCTGGATGGTCTGTTTTTATTTCATTCTTGCTTTTAAAAGAAATACCGTGAATTATCCTCACAGCCAAAAATAGTCCTTTCCAAGGGATAAAAATCGAAAACCAATTTCATCACAACCAATTGTGTGTGTTTGTGTGCAGCCACACTCAGGGAGCATTTTTTCTTTTTCTGCCTGATTCAGGCACAAGCTCCAAGTATACCACAAAAGAAAAATTCCAGTGGCTTTGGAAAACATTTCCCTCATTTTATTTTATTTTTCTGGCTTATTAATGCTTTTTGTTTTAATATCTTCTTGTAAATCATTTTGTGCATTCGCCGTCGAAGTCTAATAACTATCTAAAATAAAGTGGTTAAAAACATCCTAGCGCATAAACAGCTACAGGAGGAAACTTACGTTTTTGCAGTGACATCCACATATTGTCCAGGACGGAAGTGAGCAGCATACAGGGGAGTACCTGGTGGGGAAGGAAGGTAATCAAGTTAAGCCTATTATCATTATTATTTGTTTGGACAAAGTCTTAACAACAACAACAACTTATTATTTATACCCCGCCCATCTGGCTGAGTTTCCCCAGCCACTCTGGGCGGCTCCCAATCGAGTCTTAAAAACAATACAGCATTAAATATTAAAAACTTCCCTAAACAGGGCTGCCTTCAGATGTTTTAATAATAATAATCGGGCATTTTTGGAGCGCTGCGATGGGCCCAGAGTGATCCATGTCATGCAATGGTGAAGGATGCAATTTTTAGCAATTCCCTTTGTTCCTGCAGGGGGAGGCATAAAAAATGGCCTCCCTCCCTGTTCCTCTGATTGGAACACCCCCCACAAAACAAAACAAAAATATCTTTATCTCTAAGAAAGCTTTTAAAAAAGGTAGCAGCCATTTCAGATAACATGACTTTCTGTGTGGGAAATGTATGGTTATAATATTGGACTTTTTACATACATAGGATTTGCTCCATTTTACCACAGGACTTCAAAACCGTGTCAGCTCTGCACAATGGCTCTGATCTACCAAGAGAAAATATTGTGCAAAATTATATTCTTCATTCTTCATAGATTACCTGGCTTAATGAGGGCATTCTCAGAAACTCTAAACGTTGAAATCTTCTCCTTTGGCGGGATGCCAACGGTTCTGCACAACTCCATCATAGCTCTCCCTTTCTGTAAGAAACACAACCGGTAACAATGAGAGAAATATTAAGAAATTAGATTGAAAATCCTCGAACACTTCAAACAATTTAAAATATATGCTAATTGTGTGGTTTTAAGGACTTGCTTCTTGATAAAATTTAGAGAGTCTTTGTCTCATAATTGTATCACAATGTGTGATCCTATACACATCTGCTCAAAATCTTTAGTTTTAAAGAAGTGGTTGTTATTTATTATTAAAATAAATTTATTTTTTATTTTATTACAATGCATAATCAAGCATAGGAAAAAAATCACAAAAAGAAACTGGAGCTCAGGATGGCAGATATGTTCTCCAGTTTTCTGCCCCATTTTATCCTCACAAAAACTGTGAATTAGGTTAGGAGACACACTGGTTAGCCCAAGGTCAGCCAATGAGCTTTAAGGCTGTGGGGATTTCAAACCAGGTTTCCCTTGTCTAAATCCACCTTTTATTAACTACACAAGACAAATGTGGCCTTGTTTAGTGATACAGGAATGCCTCTGTGACAGCCTTAGGCTTGTGTGCTATCCACTCCCCCCTAGTGCAGCCACAAGGAGTTTGGAAAGCTTTTGCTTCCTTTTTCAACTAAACACAGCTTAGTATTCTGTCTGATCCCAGACAGGCTGTGCTTATGCTAAACAATGTCTTAGTAAAACGCAGTAACTTCAAAGCCTAGTTTATGAAGGTAGCTATAGTTGAGATTAACTATAATTTAGGGCATTAAAACCGTGGCTAGAAACCAAATTTTGAAAAGTGTGTGATTATAATATGGAGACTTTTCAAATAATAACCTAATACCACAAAGTTTTACATGAAGAATAATATTTAAAAATTTGCCGAAGCGTAAAGGTTCAATAAAGCATGGACAACCGCAGAGTCAGAATGAAAATGGTGAAAGAACGAAGTCTTGCAAGTTTTTAATTTTAATTCACCATACTAGAGTCTATAATCTTTAGCACAAGGATACTTCATTATTAACCAAACACATAGGAAGCATAGTTTATAAGTGGTTTATAGTGGATTAATTCGGAAATTGCCCTTGAGTCTCTCTCTCTCTCAACCTATCAACTAAACAGAAATAAAATGAATGAAAACTGAAAATGCAAGAGGCCGTATTGCAGAGTTTTGTGCTTTAAATGGATTCCCCTAGAAAGCAATTTACATGACTGACAGGAGCGACACACTTGGATAATCACCATCTGTCAGGTGGTCAGTGTTGTAGAAGTTATCTGCAGTTTTCCTTTTCCCCAATGAAAGTGCCTTCCTGAACTTTCAGAGGAGTTCAAAGGACAATTTTAAGGTTATACAGCAGCAAACACTTGCCCCACCTGAAAACGCCCCCTGCTTATCATTTTGTGTGCAAACTGCATAAAATTGATAAACCTTTATAATACTGTTTTATAGACGAAGGTTAAAATACTTCTTAGTGTCGCCTTCCTGAGATTCTCTCTCTCACACACAAATGACTGCTATAAAAATAATTAAAATCCAGTCCTAAGAACACATCATTACAGTAAGCTCCACGATGGTCACTGGAACTTATTTTCAAACAATGCATTTAGGATAGGAGTGCTGAGTTTCTACAATAAAACATAGCTAATTTCTTAGTCAATCCTTTGAAAACTATTATAATTAGATAGCAAATGTATTTGTCATTGGTGCAACAACTTTAAAACATGTAAAAAATTATCCTACAACGCATATATACATTAAAAGAATTTATAACCAGTATCTATGGATGCTCTTTTAGAGCAGCAAGTAAAAATAAGGGGAAAGGTCTGAATGAAGATATAATAAACTCTTAGTAGAATTAAAATAAATACAGTGGTACCTCCGGTTACGAATGGGATCCGTTCTGGATGCCCGGCCACATCCCGAAAACTTCGTAACCAGAAGTGCCCTTTTGCGCAAGCACATTCCACAATTGAGCGCTTCTGTGCATGTGTGCAGTGTGCAGAGCGCTTCTGCACATGTGCACACGGCGAAACCCAGAAGTATACACTTCTGGGGTTGCCGCATTAGCAACCTGAGGATTATGTTACCCGAAGGTGCACTGTAATAATAATTAAAGAAATGAAAAGATAGCCACTAGATGCAAAAGCTTTTTAGGTTGTCTCCACGTATCTGAGTCCAGCTTTCTATAACATCTAACACAAGAAAGAACATTTCATCAAGATATTTGACAGGCTCAGGTAATCCTTTCAAATTCTGGAACTATTTTATTGACTATATTAAGTGTACTTAAAAATGACAGGATGCTTTAACTTATGTGTGCAGTTCATAAACATATAACATTTACCCAATGAGCTAGGGCATGAAACATCTATGTCCCAGTTATACTATAAACTTAGATGCACTTAGCTTTTGTAAATTTAAAGGCACAGTTTATCTCTAGCTGTTGCAACAAGCAGCTGGATGCTCTAGGCATCAAAGGCATCTCCCTGCAGGAATATATCTCCTGCACATTCAGGCATTTCCAGAAGCTGTTACAGGACAGCAGTTTAGAATCTTCTGCCCACAATAAATTATTGATCTTTCAGGGGAGATACAGTGAAATGCCAATATCTGCAAGAGGCAGAGTTTTGATTCTGCATTGTAGAGCATGCTGAATGGGGATGATAGATCACAAATTATACATTGTGAGACTGGGCATGGCTGGCTGTTGCTGTTTCCTCTGAGTACCAGTTAATCAAACATACTACAGTATACACATACTCTATGATTGCACACATATTATTTGAAAATTAAGGCCTTGTGAGGCTTTAACCCATCTCATACACACACACACACACACACACACACAAAACAACCATTGTTGTTGAAACTTTTTACATCAATAATAAGATGGAAAGTAACTTTCTATAAAACAAAAGCATTTAGTTCTGTTTACAAATTGGAGCAAGTTTACACCTGAAGAGCTGAAGGTTTATTTCCACATATGCCCATTTTCAAAAGAATCAATGGACACTAAAGAGATCTATAAAACCTAGATATTGATTAAACTAGAGATTCAAATTTGTAAATGAGAACAGTTGCTAAAAATGAGGCCAAAAAAAGCTTAATAAAAATTAACAGAAAATATGGTAGATCTACAAGTCATAACAAGCTACCGCCGGTTCAGTCACCACCTTTGGGCCAGAGTGTAAAAGACCCCACACCACCTGGAAAAGCTTTGCTGGATGCCACCAAGAAGACACAACAGGGGAAGAAAAGTAAGCCTTCTTTGCTGCCTCCACTGCTACTAGGTACTGCCTGTGCCATGTGCCCCTTACCTGGCCTGTTCCACCTGCCAAACCACATCCTCCTACTCTGAACCACAGTGATTGGGAGCCTCCTTGCTCTCCCAGCTCCTCCCCTCCCTCAATAAAAACAAACAACAACAATAACTAAAACCCCACACAAATTAAAAACAGTGGAAACAATGAATGGTTCCATACATGGTCTGTGTCTCACTACAGATGCTCTAGACTGGTACAAATCTGCTGAAATAGTTATTTACGTCCATCGTGTATGTTTTGGTATAAAGGGTGACTTGGATTTTTTTTTTCCACAGGAAGGTAGCATGCTTGCTTTCTTAAAACAGGAAATAAAAATTATTAAAAGGAGGCTGAACAGGGTGGGGGAGAATTATTCCCCCTCCATCTCTGGCAGTTCCCCCCCCCTCCTCTCAAGCTAATAATAATGATGATGATGATGCCTCCTTAGAAACCAAAGCCTTCTGTCTCAATTAGCTCTGTGTTTCTGTCCAAGGTTAAGTGGGAATGAATCTGCGTAGGAGCTAAAAAGCCAAGGCCTGCACATGCACACGCATGTGGGAAGAAAAGGAAGCAGAGAATTGGAGAATACATAGTACACCTAAATGAAGGGGGAAATGTTGCAATCAGGAGGGGAGAGGCCAGAAGGAGGACATGCTGTGCCTCCTTTTTCCCCTTCCCAACTGCGTGTTTAAGCAGCACCCAGCAGGACTGAATCCTCCACTCGCCTCAACAATGCGGGTATTCCTTTAGGTACTCAGGCCTGAAGACATTAAGGGATTTACAGGTCAGCACCAACACTTTTAATTGTGCCCGGAAATTGAAATCTTTTAGGAACAGTGTTATATGGTCCCAGCAGCCACTCACAGTCATCAGTCTGGCAGCCGCATTCTGGATTAGTTTCCTTCAAAGGCAGTCCCACATTAAGCACGTTGCGGTAGTCCAAGCGGAAGATAACCAGAGCATGTACCACTCTGGCGAGACAGGGCACAGGCTGGGAGGGTCTCAGCCGGTATAGCAGATGGAGCTGGTAGACAACCTTGACATAGAATTGACCTGTGCCTCCATAGGACAGCTGAGAGTCCATAATGACTCCCAGGTTGCACACTTGGCCCTTTAGGGGCACAGTTACCCCATTCGGGACCAGGGAATGCCCCTCCCCATGTCCCCCATGCAAAAATCCCCTGCCTTCAGAGAATGGTAAAGAGAATGGAAAAATCACATTTTCAAGAAATGACAGCAAACAGTGATGCATGCAAGCAATTTTTTTAAAAAATAAAAAAGGCAGACTTTTAAATATAGAGGCACACCACACACCAAAATGTACTCTATAGAAGAAGTTGATGAAAACTGATACTCTATCACAAAAAGCAACACAGTAGACTTACATAAAACTGTGAAACATTTCTTCCTCCAACAAGCAGAAAGGGATCTTTTCCGCCCATTTCTTCCTTCGGTATATGCTTTAATACATGGCAGTCTCTAACCTTCAAGGAAAAAGATCCAACACAGAATGGCAAAAGTAATCTCAAAACCCGTATACATATTTTGTTGAATTATAATATCCTCATCACCATTTGTTTATTAGAGTCAACAGACCAAAAATGTATCCAAACTACACCAAAATCTTACAAATATATAAAGTGTAACATCATTATATAAATCATCTAATAGGGATTTGCTAATTCAACCTCAGGTAAGCACTTGGAAATAACCCTTCCAGCTTCAAGTGCTTAATTTCCTGCTTATACAAACAACAATGAATAAGTAGTCAGATGCTGTACACAGTGCAGTACTGCAACCTTTAACCTTTATAAAGGGTAATTGAAAGTCAGCGTTTATTTTTAGAATTTATACCCAACCTTTTGCCGTGAATGGCCTCAAGGTAGCTAGCAACATAGTAAAATATAATTTTAAAACCAACAACAAGATAAAGATACAACACAGCCAACAGTTTAGAAGAATAAACATGAATAAGGACACCTTTCTATAATGTCCAGTTCCTGAGAACTGCATTAACTGCTGATGTGCACTTGTATCTGCAGGTAATCTCAGGTTATTGTTCATGGGGTGAGGGGGACAGGAGGCAACCAGGTCTGTTTCTTAAGCCATATTTTGTGTCTGGCTCCACCTCAATACTTATTTTGCATCCAGCTCTGATTATTGGACTTCAGAGTTCTAGCAAAACCAAACAAGAGCCAAAACAGATTTCACAAGCCTGCAAGGGGCACAGGGGAGGAGGGGGCAAGGAAGTTCCATTGTCCTGCTACAACTAACGGAGCTGTTTAGTTAGGATAGTGCCCAGATCCTAAATATGCAATCTAGAAGACAGGCTGCATGTTATTTTCTTCAACCTATCATGAGTTTTTAGAGACTAATATTTGCCTTACCTGAAGTAATGTGACAGGCACTCTTTCACCTTTCTTGGTCCACAATGGCATCATCCCCAACTTTACTGCAATAAGTCCAACCCTTTTGGAACCTGTGTTTAAAAGTGAAAGCAGTCCCTTTAACTATTTAGCCAATGGCAGCCAGGTGCTCCATACAGGTGAGCACATGGAATTTCCTCAAATGTGTGTAGTGGCTGGTGAAAGAGGGACAGAGAACTCTGCTTCCATATTGACTACAAAGAAAGAAGCTTCTAGCTGGGACCCCCCCCCCATTTGCTTACCAGCCTGCTTTTTACTCCTAAGAGGGGTCCATCTTAGGAGTAAAAAGCAAACAAATATTTATTTTTACATACAGGCTATGTATTTTTGGCAGCTTTGTACCAAAGCCGAGTGAATGAAAGGGACCACGGTTGCAACTTAATCTTAAATGACATTTTGCAAGTGTTTCCTAATTGCAGTCCACAGACCACCAGTGGTCTACAAGCTTCATTCAGGTGATTCATGGCATGCCTGTGAAAAATGATGGGAGCATCAGCCGCAAAGGGCAAGAGCAGTGGCTGAGCCATCATTCTTAGAACCTGGCATTCTGCCAAGAAGGCAGATGGGATGGACTGGAAGTGGCAGGGCAGGGAGCTGTCTATGAAGAAAAAGTTCTGGGAATCTTAAGTGTGGACAACACCTGAAAAACAAAGGGTTCAATCAAAACCACTGGAGACCCAATGCCTGAGTACAGAGGGATCCCTTTGTGGCATGACAGAGCCCTTTCCCCTGTGTTATGCACATGCAGGTATTCACACAGGCACCACAACAGGGAACAAAAAGGATTGTGCATGTATTCCATATTCCTAGCCAATATAGATTCATTTAGTCAAGGACTACAGATTTGGAACATGTGGTCCTTGGAGGTGGGGAATGAAAAAAGAAAAGGCTATCTGGAATAATAATAATAATAATAATAATAATAATAATAATAATAATAATAATTTTCTGGTTGGGTTTCCCCGGCCACTGTGAGTGGCTTACAGCACATATAAAAACATAGTAAAACATTAAACATTAAAAACTTCCTGATACAGGGCTGCCTAATAATAATAATTGATAGGAACTTCCCAATTCTCATAATGGCCTGGCATGCTGAATGTTTACACACATGCGCTCGGTGCAAGGGAAAATAACTTTTACGTCCTACATGTGCTGCTTCCTTAATGGACTAGAATCCAGCTCACTGATTTTAAAAGCATTTGTGTTTTAAGGAATCCAAATACAGGCTCAAGTACTGGACATAGGTTTGCTTTTGCTTCCCAACCTGTCATATACAAACCTGGCTCCCATGGATGCAAAGGCCAGGGTTCATCTTTTAATGGACAGAGTTTACTGGCTGTTTGAGCTTTGAATTCTTCCGCTGTATACTTCTTAAGGAACTCGAAATTCTCTTTTGAAAGGTGCTCATCCCACCATGTGGAATTGTCAGTAATATGCCTAGCTGTGACACACCACAGACCACTATCAAACAGAAGATAAAAATGGTTTAGAAAACGAGATATGCACAATTGCCTTTCCCAATTCTCAGTTCTGATACCCAGTTATCTTCAAGGTATTGCCAAGCATAAATACAGGTAGGCAAAAATAATAATCCCAGACTGGCAAACACCTGCAGCACATGCCCCAAAAGCAAGGTCAGGAAGAGAAGGGATCTGATGACTACTATAACAGTTTAAAAGATTCGAACTAAAGAGTTGATTATCAATGTTGAAGGCTCTGGTTGAGATGCCAAACACAGAATTACAAAGCATGTTGAGAGGTCTTGGCGAATAATCATGCTCTCCAGAACATTACATTAACATGTTTCACAAGCACATTAAAGGACAGAAGGAAGGGAGTTAACTAGAATTTTTGCATGCCTTATAAGCCCTTTTATGTTAAAACTTTCCAAAGCATGTGGGCTGCGACCCAACTGACATTGCAGAAATGGAAGAATGAAGTGCATTACCCTAACTGTTGTAGGCTGATAATGAAATTGTAAGAAAGGCAGAAAGAATTGCTGATGGGAACATATTTAGTAAATTGGCAAATGGGAAAGCAGCAGACTTACAAAAATATTCAAGGTTCCTTGGAGAGTATTATGCAGCCAACATAATAAGCTAAATCTATGGTGCAATTTCAAGGAGAAACACTGCTTTATTAAGGTGGACAGACAGGTTCACTTTACCTGAGGCAGCAGGTTATACTGTAATAGTTGAAGAAGCCTCTTATGTGAGGTGTCCAACTCTACCCCACTCACCTACAGTTGCCAGAACAATACCTTTTCATTGGCTAACAGAGAAAATGGTCCCAGGCTTAGGGCCATACAAGCAAACCAATGTAGTTGCAAAACACCAACTGATACAATAGCATACATCTTAAGAGTTCCCTTCACTCATCGCAATTTAACCAAGGAAGGGAATAAAACACAGGTTTCAAAATAAGTACCATATTTTTCACTCCATAGGGCGCACCGGACCATAGGGCGCACCTAGTTTTTAGGGGGGGGGGGATAAAGAAAAAAAATTATTCCCCCCCCCCAGCCCCAAAGATCCATCCCACTGGCTGTCTTGGCTTCCTCTTTAGCCACGCACAACCTCTCCAGCCAGGAGAGGCTGCGCACGGCTTCATTTTTAGCCGCGGGGCTGGGGCGGGGGAAGCCCGAGCTTCCCCCGACCCCAGAACAGGTCTGGGAGCAGAGGCAAGGTTGCGCAGCCTTGCCGCCGCTCCCGGAGCTTGCGGGCTGGGAGAGCGCTCTGAAGGTTTGCGGATAGCTGCTTGAAACCCAGGGAGCGCAGTGGGAGTTGGCACTGCGCTTCCCGGGCTTCAGGCTGCAATCCGCAAGCCTTCGGAGCCCGGCGGGAACTCAGCGAAAGCCTGCATTCGCTCCATAGGACGCACCCACATTTCCCCTTCATTTTTGGAGGGGAAAAAGTGCGTCCTATAGAGCGAAAAATACGGTATATGCTAGGCCTGGGTGATACATTGATATATACAGGACCAGTATGTGGGGGCAGACCACAATGACAGCTTCACCCAGTGGTATACCACTCTTGAGTCCCTCTGCCTCCAGTGCCCAGTGTCCTGAGGGAGAAACAAACTAGCTGAGAGCTGAAAGCAGAGGGACTCAAGTAGCAGCGGTTTCACCTGTGATATACCAATGTTGAAACCACCATCACACTCTGCCCTGGCAGAGGGAGAATCAAGATGAATTGGCAAGGTCCCGATACAGCCTTTTCCTTCCTTCGCTTCTTTAAACTGCTTGGGCTGAGGAGAACGCTGCTGCCCTTGCCTCAGCCAAGTAGTTTTATGGAGCCCCTGACCCGATACCGGCTTGCACAAGCCAGCGGCAGGATGGGGGCTCCGTTAAAGTGCTCCCCCTCCCCAACCGAGAGAGCCCCAAGCCCGCTGTTGCTTGCTTGCGAGTAGGATCCGGCTGCTCTCAGCTGTGAAGCAGGAAGCCCCCGCTTCCCAGCTGAGAGATCCCTGCCCCCCCGCCCCTGCTTGCACTGCTTGTGAGTGACAGGGGACTTGGGGCTGGCTCCGCTGGGGGCAGGAGCATTTCTGCCCCCCAGCTGAGCAGCAGGCTGGAGCCAGCTATATTGGCCACAGCCCGCGAGGTGCTGGGGTGAAAGCATCTCAGCTTCCACAATGAGAGCTGTGGCAGTTTCACACAGCATCTCGCCAGCTGGGGCCAACACAGCTTTTTTCAACATCACAGTATATCGCCAAAGCGCAATGTTTGGCTGGCGCTACACCGCGATGCTGAAAACCCAGCATCACCCAACTCTAGTACTGTATATGTTGTCATAAGAGACTTGTTTACTTGTCAGGCTCCTGAAAATCGGTCTGGTTCCCTACTAGTAATAATAATAAAATTATTATTATTTGTACTTTGCGCACCTGATTGGGTCACCCCAGCCACCCAGGGCAGTTTCCAACAAATATAAAAACACAGCGGGACATCAACTACTGAAAACCTCCCTATACAGAGCTGCTTTCGGATGTCTAAAAGTTGTATAGCTATTTATCTCCTTGATATCTGATGGGAGGGCCTTCCACAGGGTGGTCACCAGGCCCTCTGCCTGGTTCCCTGTAACCTCACTTCTCACAGTACAGTGACATATATCCTTATTCATATACTGTACAGCTTTTCCCCCTTTCTCCCTCGCCCCAGTAAAACAAAGCAACCACAAAGGCACAGAGCATGGGGCAAGAGAAGAATATTAACCCTGCAGCATAGATGTGCGATGGTTGTGGTTGTGGGATGAAACCACCTTTCGATGCCCTGTCCACAACTTAGAAAAGTAGAACACCACAAATTACTACAGGTGCACACCTTTCCTCTCCCCCTCCCCAACACGATGGGGGAAAAAAACAATATGCACTTTGGGAAAGTGAGTTTCAAGCAGTGTTTTGAAACTCCCATTGTCCTAGGCGCATTTTGCGACAGGGAATTTCATTGGCGCAAGCTGTTTCTGAACTCCTGCGCCTAAGATTTCAGATTAAAACTACAGAGTGGAAGGAAAGGAGGACCTTTTTCTGCTTCCCTACTTCTAGCTCCCCTCTGAAGACTGGAAAAGAGACCCTCTTAGGAATATTAGGGGAGTGGGCAGGGGAAGGACTGGACCCTGTGAAAAAAGGAACACAATATTTTAGCTGCCGTTCGTTCATTTTCAAATTTGTTATATATAAAAAGGAGCGCCTAGACAGTCGACCATAACCCAGGTTCCAAGCGCCCTTTAGCTCCCAGCTTTCCTATCTCAAGTTTCCAACACTGGTTCCAAAAAGCTTCAACGAAACTCTCCACATTTCCCCTTGCTGCGTTTTACAGGCAGAAACCCAACAGGTAAAGCTTGGATTCCACCCCCTTAACCCCTGAGTCGTTCTGAGAGGGGAGCCCGCCTTCACCTGTGGAACTTCTGCCTGAGGGAACGGGAGAAGCCCCTTATTTGGGGTCACGGGGTGTGGGTGGGTGCCTGTGAGGGGGAAACCAGCGCCCGGCGACGGTTGAGAGCGGGGGCGCGCGCACGACCCCCCCCCCGCCCACGTACCCGCTCCGAATCCCTGCTCCCGAAGCCAGCAGCCGCGAGCCCAACCGACACAGCAGCCCCACGCGCGACATCACGCCCGCCGCTTTCCTCGACGGGGAGTCCGGCGGAAACTCCCCCCCCCCACCTTTCCGCCTGACGCGCTCTAGAAACTTAAGTTCCGGCTACACTTGGTTCCTACCAGCCCCGCGCCGGCGCAGAAGGAAGCGGATGATTTTTTTTAACCTCGAGGCACAGGCAGGCTAAGAAGGGGCGTTGCCTTTTCCCCAAACGGACGCCCCGCCTACGTCATGATATATATATTTACATATACCATAGACAAAACTTCGCCGGAGGGAAGCGGCTGCTTTTGACTTTGGCGGGAAACGAGGAGGAGGCGGCGGGTGCCGCGACACCTGCTGGCGGGATGCCGCCGTTGCAGGGGCAAATGGCCGCAGATTTATCCCGGGATTCCCATCCGGGCATAAGAGGAGTCTCTCCTCTGATTTGAGTCATCTTTTTTTAACCAAAGGAAAAAGCCTCCTAGGCGTTGGTGGCCTCAAGTGCAATCTTAAAAGCAGTTCTCCGTGTCCCCCTCCCCAAGGATGCTGCTGTTTGGAGGCTGCTGCTGTGCCTCTGCCCAAACAAGTGAGCAACCCAAACTGGAATTCAGGAGGGGATGAACCTAAAGCAGAGGAGCAACAAACCCCTTCACCCCTAGAAAATATTCACTTATATATTCATGAGTATGGATATCCTGTTTTGTAGCCTCAATAGGCTCTCAAAGTGTTTTACAGCAGATTCCCACAATGTACCATCAAGAACAGAAATAACATGGTGTCCGTCTGATGCCAGGAATTTACAGACACCATCTCCATTGTTGTTGTTTTTTACTGGTGTCCTCCTCTGGCCGCTACCTCATAAACCAACAGTGCCCACTGCGGACCTAAGAATTTCACCCAGGCAACGAAGCTTGACCAATATGCCCCATACACCTTCTATAACTAGAATAGGTTGGTGTGGGCAGGTGGGCTTGTAAAGATCTCCAAATTCCAGAGAACAGGAACTGTTGTAAAGGTAAAGGGACCCCTGACCATTAGGTCCAGTCGTGGCCGACTCTGGGGTTGCGGCGCTCGTCTCGCTTTATTGGCTGAGGGAGCCGGCGTACAGCTTCCGGGTCATGTGGCCAGCATGACTAAGCCGCTTCTGGCAAACCAGAGCAGTGCACGGAAATGCCGTTTACCTTCCCGCTGGAGCGGTACCTATTTATCTACTTGCACTTTTTGACGTGCTTTTGAACTGCTAGGTTGGCAGGAGCACGGATTCGAACCGCCAACCTTCTGATCGGCAAGTCCTAGGCTCTGTGGTTTAACCCTCAGCGCCACCCGTGTCCCAGGAACTGCTGTGGACTTATCTAAAAAGCTTGCTCAATGGTCATATGAATGTCCAGTTTGGCAGAGATTTCAATCCATGGAAGAGAAGCCACAATGGATGCCTTGTCTTCTCAAAACAAAATTGTTCTCAATTAGGAGACAACTGATCTTCTAGTTTGAAGGTATATGCTGCTCTTCTTTTCTTTTAGGAAAGGGCCACATCTCCAGGACAGAGAATCCCAAACCTCCTAGGTTGAATCTCAGTCCATGTAGGGATGGGAAAGACCTTCTGGCTGAAACCCAGAAGAGCTGTTGATGGACCAAGTAGAGATAATACTGAGCACAATGGTCCAGTGTTGTGACTTGGTATACGGCAGCTTCCCATGTAAGACTAAGGTCTTTCTTTGTGATGCTGAAGTGCAGGGGAAGTTGTATGGTGTAGCAATCAGCAATCAGATTGCGACAAGAGATTTTAACATAAAAGGCAGCCGTGTAAGTGAATGTAAGTAATGTATGAGATGAAGCGAGACAGTGTGTTCAAAGCTTAATGGACTGTGGCACGCAGGGTTTTAAAGTCAGATTTGAAATTCATTGTACTAGATGGAATGACTCAATTCAGTAAGATATTAAAGGTTTGGGTGAGGGTAAGAATGGTAAAATATGCAGATATAAGCCACAAGGGGAGGGAGGGGGAATCTCCTATCACATCTTTTGCTAGATTTCACTTAAGACTGCTCTGCCATTAGGCTGCTCAGGACAGGTCTCTCAATACATTTTGAAGCAAATCTACAGCCCTTGGCACAAATGTACCATTGTAATGTTGAAATCCTAACACACACACACACACACACACACACACACACACACAACCCCAAACTCCCTCTTCTGTCACTCAAAAGCTCAGTTATGCAGATACTTTCAAATCCAATTCAGAATAAATTTTCAGGGTTGCCTTAATTCAGGTCTCTTCTAGACATCCTGTTTATTCAGCACTCATCCTGATTTCCTGGCTAAAAGCTTACACGGAGATTGCATTTCATCTGTATTGACCATCTGTACTGACTTGTTTGCAGGGAGGTTATATTTATCCTGCATTCATCCTGATTTACTTTCGATATGTTTATTCTACATGCTCCCATTAATCATTTGTTCTATGCTTTTCGGTTCATTTCTCCGTCACCTTCCCAAACTGCTTCTTTTTAAAAGTGGATTTTCGCACTGGAGTGACAGAGCTCTTTGATTTGCTCTAATTGTGCAAACCTAAATTTCCTGATATGCGCTTGAATTACAGGGTATGCTCCTGTAAAATACGCACGGTCTGCAGGTGCCCTCATGCCTCAAGATCCGGAATATAGGTAATGAACTGAAGCAGTGAACAGAGGAGCAGCGGGTGACTCAGCCTCCTGACAGCTGGGTTGCTGCTGCTTACTGAAATAGAAGGGAGGGTGTGCTGCAGAGGTCAGTGTGGTGCAAATGCACCAGCAGCACAGGGGAGTTGAATTGGTTCTGCTGGTGTGTTTGTGCCATGCCCACCTTGCCCCATTTCATCTTCTTCCTGGTAAGCAGCAGCAACTCAGCTGTCAGGAAGTCGGGTGAACATCCTCTCCCCACCATGCTGCCCACTACTCAACATGTCACCACCAGCTCCAAGAACAGGTTTGAGGAGAGGTGTTCGTTTTTTTCCTGCTGTCCAGAAAGAAAAGGCATTTGGGTGTATATCTGGCACTTATTACAGAGCCCCCCCCCCAAGTGTCCCTGTTTCCCAGGGACAGTCCCAGATTTACAGAAGCCATCTCTGTTTCTGATTTGATCCCAGAACATCCCGCTTTTCCTTAGGACGTCCCTATTTTCATCTGAGAAATGTTGGAGGGTATGGAATAGGAATCCCTCTTTTCATCTGAGACATGTTCAAGGGTATGGAATAGGAATATGGAATTGGATAGATGTTGGAGGGTATGTTATTACTTAATTTTGTTTCTGCACCATGAAGTATCTTAGCAGTGAGTGCCCCTCTTTCACTCTGGGGAACAGACAACGGCTTTCTAGTTTGATTCCACCCCGGTGCAAACTTGCACACATCTCTTCAGGCATTTGTGCAGCTTCCTCCAGTGCCTTTAGTCTTGCTTTTAAGAAAGAGCCTTGAAGATCTCCATACTCTGATTGGTGGTGGTGCCCACCCTGTGGAACGCCCTCCCCTCAGATGTCAAGGAAATAAACAACTGTCTGACTTTTAGGAGACATCTGAAGGCAGCCCTGTTTAGGGAAGTTTTTAATGTCCGGTGTTTTATTGCTTTATTATTATTATTATTGATTCTATTGGGAGCCACCCAGGTGCGTAGGGTATAAATAATAAATTATTATTATTATACTAAATCAGTCAAGAGCTAATTCCTTTTCTGCTGGAGAAAGAAGTATTAAATTAGCAACAGAGCGTAACAAAATAAAACACATCCCCATTTTGTCAGTGCTTCTACTTCAGAAAGTATGTAAGAGTGGCAAATAATGAAATTACTTACTATAATCTTTGCTTCTTCCCAGCCTGCCTCATCCCTCCCTCCTCTTTGCCTCATTGCTTAAAAGTATTTCCTTCAATCTGGGAAGTCTTTCGTGTCCAGAGTGCAAAGACAATATACTTTTGACATATCACATAGCATCTTATTCATGAGATTAAATTCTGATCTGCAACTAGGGGGAAAGAAAGAACGAACCATGGGGGCAAGGATTGATGTGGAAAGGACTCCTGTGTCACGGCACACATGCAGAACCTGCCATTATGCGACTTCAGCCCCAGAGAGTTTGTTCCAAACATGATGAGTGTGGCATATTGTGCTGAAAACTGCTGACATGTGCCATCAAAAACCAAAGTCCAGGACCTTAGGTGGAATTTGGGATGCTCAGCCTCGTGTTCACGCGTTATTACCAGCTCATCTAGTAGGTAACTTCTTGTCCTAAATGCCAACTCAAATGCAGCCTCCTTTCATGCAACTTGATTATATTTTAGAAAAACCTTGGCTAGGCAGCAGTGGCGTAGCGTGGGGGGTGCAGGGGGTGCCGCCCGCACCGGGCGCAACATCTTGGGTTAGGGCAAATCCACGGGTTAGGGGGCGCAAATTACTTGCCTTGCCCCGGGTGCTGACAACCAACGCTACGCCGCTGCTAGGCAGATAACCTTTCACATTCTTCTTACAATTAATGAAAACCCTTTTGTGGTATAAAAAGGCAAGACTATGGTGGAACTGGGCAGAAGTCTGCTTGTTGCTCCTCGGATGTACAGCTTAGGAAACGGAGGCCAAAAATGACACATCCAAACTCTTCCTCAGCAGCTGATGGAGAAGCTAGAAATGGCACACAGAAATCTCCACTGTTTTTAAAGAGACTAAGCTATTTTTTCTCTGGAAGCTGGTAGAGAGAAGTGAGGACTAAGTGGTGAGAGCCTGAAAGCCGCTGCATTTGGGAGAGTCGATGTGATTGAGGAAATTATTTTTTAACAGTAATGCAGGTGGCCTGCATGTCAGCTAGAATCAATGGACTCAGACCTCGAGTGGCAGTCGAATTAAGAGTGGCTTAAATTAGAGGCAGAGTAATACATTGACAGTACTCAGAACACCTTGCCGGAGACCTGGGGTAATTACTTTCTTCCCTGCCTTACTTCACCCTGGAAGCCATCGTTGCCCAACATGCGTGAGTCACACCCTGTCCTGGAGATGACACAGGGTAGCAAGCCTGTTGTTAAAATAACGTGTGTGCATCAGCAAAGATGGACAGGGTTTAATCCTGCTTGGCTTTGCGATCCGAGATCAGGGGCTTAAAAGGGGAGGATGGGGAGACTTGCAAAGTACAAGGGATTTTGACAGTTGGGTCAAGTTTGGGAACAAAAAAAAGTTGCCCATTCCTGAGCTATATAATAAGGGGGAAAACCACCCTTCTAAAATTGGGTTGGGCACAACTTTCTTTGCAACAAGTTGGAAATTATTTAGTTGCCCTGAGGAGGAATGCAGAGGGTAAGCACATAAATGGAATTCTGGGAGATTTAAAAATATTTTTTTGAATAACTAATTTCCTTATTGTTCATTGTTTTCCACCTGCTGAGATAGCTCAGCTGGTAAACCATGAGACTCTTAATCCCATGTCGGGCACAAGATTCCTGCATTGCTGGGGGTTGGACTAGATGACCCTCACGGTCCTTTCCGACTCTACAATTCTATGGTTCAAATCCTCCTAGTTTTGGGCCTTCAGAACCACAGGCAGCCTGTGTAATAATCAGCCTTTCAGTGATCTGCTGTGTTAAAGCCATGCAGTTTAGGTTCCATAGTGTCTACACAAAACTGGCCATTGTGCATGAATGTAAAGAAACAAACAAAATGTTAATGTTACAAACATGATCAGATGTGTCCGAAACATAGTCCACCAAAATCCTGTAACAGCTAGCCATGACTATTTTTAAACATGACATGGCATGTAAGCCTACTGGCCAGTTAAGACGTATTGCAGCTGCTACAGTCTCCTGCTGTTACAGAAATTATGTGCATCTCTGGGACTTTTTACACAGTCCCCGAACTTTCATAATATTGGCTGTTTTTGAGCACATCTTTTACAAGCTGTTGCCATGTTTGTTACAGACATCTTAGATTCATGCTTGGAAGTAAATCTCCTAGAATGTTCTGGTGTGATTTTTTTAAAATTTATCGTTATTATTTGAAGAATGGAAGAGTCGATGAGAATTTTTCAGCAGGCAGCTTTGTGACAAGAAATAAATAAACACAACAACTGCAAAACTGTTGTTTTTATTTTGGAACATGCAAAATACAGTCCATGCATCTGCCATTTTGAAAAAAAAAACCAAAACCTTTTCATTTCATAGCAGATAAACCCAAAGACGTTTTGGCTATCAACTTCCAATAAATGTTTCAAAATGCTTTACAGTGTAAAGATAATAAGAAATTTAGCAAAATTTCAACAAACCTGTATAAAAAACAGATACAGATAACTTTTTTTTTCATTTCAAGGCGACATGCTGTAATGTAAAGAGTTATAATTTTGTTTTTGTTTTTGTTTTCATAAAAAGTCTTCAACAATACAATTGCTTTAACCTTTACCGGCAAGCCTTTAGGCTACACATGCAAAAAAAATTATTTGAGTTAAAAATCACCAAAACGTGCTATTTTCATTTAAGTACAGTAACTGTAAGTAGTAGCATATCTGAACTCTGTAAAAGTGTCCAGGGAAGGTCATGGAGCTACTGTCCTGGAAGACTCATACTCTGACATACATTTTGGTTTAATCGCTTTCCCATTGTAATAGTCCACCACTTGGTTTGGAACTTCAGCCAAAACACTTTTTGCTAACGCAGCTGGAGAGGCCTGCAGGAAATGGCAGAAAATAACAGTTGTTAACACACTTCTACCTAAAACGTGGCCACTCCACACACATAACCCCATAACCAACAGGGTTGTGATCAGCACAACTATGCTGGCCTTTAAGATGCAGGTTATTCCACCTCAGTCTAGCCAAACACCTGTGAGCGTATGATTAATGCTCCAAAAACCAAGGCTTTGACAAGGCTGACTGGTTCCCCCCTCTATGCATATGGGGCTATCTTGTCTACAACAACATCAAGGCCTCTGATGTAGGTAAGGCTATGTTGTCATTTGCTTTGTGTAATCACACTAAGATGGGGTAAAGCACTCAAGTCATTTGGCATCCATCTGGTCAGCTGTTTGTGGAGACTGAGGGTATTATTGCCCCAATCATCACTGGCATGCAAAAAGCTATTGAAGTCTTTGGGTCCTTTGAGCATTAAATGATTTTTCACCATGCTTCTATTTTGCACTACACTCCACCTGCTTATATTTTTGATTAATGTGCAAAAGGAACTGCATTTCTCTTAGCAGGAGAAACATCAAATACTTCCTGTAGTCTACCCTTATCTGTTATTGTTCTGTTACCTATATGCATGCATTTGGTAACATTTTGGTAACATTCTGAAATATATAGCATTTGGTTTAATGTATTTGTTGTGGTTTATTGTTCTAGAAGGCTACATGCCTATGGAGTGTTCAGTATTTATGCTTTAAGTTAGTCTTAGCTGCTGCTTTGGTTTCTGTAACAATTTCTATGCATTATCCAAATTTTGAGTCATTAAGTTTGCATTGTCACAGTAAGCTTTTTTATATTAAAAAATGGTTGCCTTTTAGTTTACTGTCAATTTTGGGGGTCGTCTAATACGCCCAGTTGCCTAATATGCCGGAATCTATGGTAGATCCTGGATTTTTGCATAAACTCTGGAAGTCCTGCTAATAGTATAAACACATATGATGGAAAACACACATAAAATTCATAGTATGCTGAATAAACAAGATTAACACATGTACAAGCCTAGGTGGGCCTACTCAGAAGTAAGCCCCCACTGAGTTCATTGGAACATACTCCCAGGTGAGTGGGTATAAAGTTGCTGGCCCTCTATTTACTAATTTTTAAAGTATTCAAATTTAAAGTTGAAAATACAATACAAAATGAAACAACTGTGCACAATGAACGTTAGATCTGCGTTTTTATTTCATTCATACATATGGAAACGCACACTTCGGTTCGAAAGAAATGCAGAAATAAATCCTGCTTGAACCTCCTTTTGAGTCGATGGGATTAGCAGTATAGCCTAGAAATCTAGCAGTCTTTAAAAGACAAATTCTTCATGGCGACAACGTTTACTTTCTTTCTGGGATGAGAGTTGCTCAATGCCAACGTGGCAAACTTCAGAGCTGCGTGACAGAGGACCCTGCCTGCTGGGGCAGAGCTATCTGGCAATACCTTTTCCACGGCTGAATCCCCAGCTACAACCTAGCAAGACAATAATGGCATTTATCTTCTCAAGCTGGAGCTTAATGAGGGGCACGACTCCTCTCACTCGCTCACTGTCTCGCTCCTGTGCAGTTCTGTAGGATGATGGGAGCCTTGAAGGAGCTTCCAAGCATCTGTCTTGTTCTGCTAGATTAAAAGCTCATTGTAATGGCCATCCTTGACCTATTTGGAGCAGCTAATTTCAGTGCACAGATACTGAGGTGGAGACTCGTAGATGTCCACTTCACAAGCAGAGTTCTAAAACCACTGAACGGCTCTCCTGCCTTCAGATACTAAAAAGGTAAAGGTAAAGGGACCCCTGACCATTAGGTCCAGTCGTGACCGACTCTGGGGTTGCGGCACTCATCTCACTTTACTGGCCGAGGGAGCCGGCGTACAGCTTCCGGGTCATGTGGCCAACATGACTAAGCCGTTTCTAGCGAACCAGAACAGTGCACGGAAACGCCGTTTGCCTTCCCGCCGGAGCAGTACCTATTTATCTACTTGCACTTTGACGTGCTTTTGAATTGCTAGGTTGGCAGGAGCAGGGACCGAGCAACGGGAGCTCACCCCGTTGCGGGGATTCGAACCGCCGACCTTCTGGTCGGCAAGCCCTAGGCTCTGTGGTTTAACCCACAGCGCCACCCGCGGTCCCTTTGCCTTCAGATACTGCTTGACTATAAAACTCCATCCATGACTGTTGGCTGGGACTGATGGGAAATGAAATGCAACAATATCTGAAAGGCACCAGGGGTCAGGAAGGTAGGTTCACTCTTACGATTAGGATGCTGTTTTCTTACATCACTGCATCTTAGCCTAAAATCACTTGATCACACCACACTTAAGTAATTCAGTTAGCAGGAATATTGCAGTTTTAGTCCAATCAGATTGGCACTTGCAATTTCAGCCATTCAGCTGGGGATAATTTAAACTCTGACCAAGTAAGGTGAAACTGGTTTTGCCCGGAACCATATTTTCAATAAACTGAAAACAGATATAGTAGTACCAATTCATAAATCAGTCTCATTTCAATTCTTTTTACCAAGGAAAACTGCATCCGGTAATTAGTGACAGGAGCAGGACAGTAAAATACGAGAATTTCCAAGATATAGCTTGTTAAAGCTGTTGTTTCATAGGTGGCCTAGTAGGGTTGTTAATGTCTAATATACTTGTCTAATAAATACGAACTTTAAACTGAAACTTGACAAAGAAACTACTGCAGATGTAGGTGTGGGTGAACTGGTTTCTAATAACACGTTTAGTTCTCTGCCTTTCCACATCAGCTTTTTTTTAAAAAAAAGTCTGCATAAAAATTCATTAGTATTTTAGTGCACAATTCTCTTAATAACAAATATTTTGTATACAATTTTGTCCAATACACACATTTTTTTGCAAGCAATGTTCACCAATATTATGCATATTCCCACGTTATTTCCATTTATATATGTGGCTTCATGTACACTTTACCCTAGTATATGCTTTTTTGTATATATTGCTTGGCTAGAGAACTCGGCAATCAGTGGTGAGTGGGACTGTTAATTATTAAATCTTAGAACTGGCTTGATACCTCAGAGCATCCTCCAGGTTCTGTCCCTTTAAAAAACATCCAAGGCAGAAAGGAAACCAGGTTTTCCCAGCTCAAAACCTGCTGTAGTCAGGATAGCTAAGCACTTCTGTTTGGTACAGCAGGGCTATTTTCCTGCATCGCTAGCACCACAATCCTTGTCTACTCAGAAGTAAGTACCATTGAGTTAAAAAGGTAAAGGTACCCCTGCCCGTACGGGCCAGTCTTGACAGACTCTGGGGTTGTGCGCCCATCTCACTCAAGAGGCCGGGGGCCAGCGCTGTCCGGAGACACTTCCGGGTCACGTGGCCAGCGTGACATCGCTGCTCTGGTGAGCCAGCGCAGCACACGGAAACGCCGTTTACCTTCCCGCTAGAAAGCGGTACCTATTTATCTACTTGCACTTTGACGTGCTTTCGAACTGCTAGGTTGGCAGGCGCTGGGACTTGAGTTAAGTGGGACTTATTCCTAAGTCCACTGATCTTGATGGTGTCTACTTAGTTCCAATTCAATATGCATAGGATTGCACTGTTGGTAGAAAGTTGGAAAGATATGCACTTGTTTTATGGGCTTGTGACAGTTTCACAAGTAAGTAGAGACAATGGAGTGCACCTCCAGGGGCGGAGTCAAACTGCTGGAGAATCACAGCTCCTGCTGTGGCTGCAGAGACAGGTAACAAGCAGCTGCTGCTTCCTGCATTGTTTTTGCTGTGTTGGCAGCACCTAAGTGACCCCTCTGGGCAGTGTGTATGGAGGTCCTGGGCTGCCCAGATGATAAGGCCTCACTCTCAGCCTCGCTGATGTGGTCCAAAGGAAAACAGAGCAATACATTTGGCTCCAGTTTGGCTGCAGTAATTACTGGAAGGAGGTGTACAAGATGCCATCTAGCCGTCTTAGGGACTCCACTCTGGATTTGTGTAGGGTTTACTCCTTAGCCTCTCGAAGATGGGCAGACAGAGCCTTGCAATTAGTTCCCATATTATTAGACTCTCTGCCCCAAATTTTACTACTGGCTCCGCTCACAAACACCCATATGATTTATGTTCTAAAAGACATTGGGGGATACCTCCCAATGGAGGATTGTAAAATCATGATCTTCCAAATCTAATAAATCTGTATTTTTTGATTTTATCCATTCCCAAATCCAACAAATACATGAGGCTTCATAATATAATTTCAGGTCAGGCAGTGTTCTAAAAGACATTGGGGGATACTTCCCAATGGAGGATTCCTCTCCTCGCCCCAAGCAAATACTAGCTTAGGAAGAGGGATTTTCCTCGACTGCAGCAGAGAAAGAAAGGATTAGATTCCCCCTCTACACCTGCTCTAATACTATTAATTATCAGTCTTCCCACCACCAACTGACACAATTTGCATTTTTAAAAACCTGCACTGTTTGATCCTTAGTTGTGAAAACAGGGGTTGAGGCTCATCAATTTTACAGTCCCTGTACTAAGAAATAACACATTCCAAAAGAGAACACAGCGAAAATTAATCTTACATGTTTGAAGTTTCTGAATGGCACAAACTGAACGATGTCGCGAAGAACAGGCTCTCCCTTGGGCGATCTCAGGATCCCATCGTCCCCATCCAGCATCTGCATGTCACTGAAATCAGCATTTCCTACTCCAACTATAATGACCGACATGGGGAGATGGGAGGCATGGACAATGGCTTCGCGTGTATCGGCCATGTCTGTGATGACGCCATCCGTCAGAATCAGCAAGATGAAATATTGCTATAGAAGGGTTGAAAAAGAAAGTCAGTATTCCAATCCATTTCCAGCAACTATCTGGCTTCCTAAATCAATGATGCAGAGATTCCCTGGCACTTCTCCCTGGGAATTATGTGTTTTTTTATTATGCTATGAATAAGTGGGGGAAGAGATCAAAATTTTAAAATAAGTTAAACTCTACATAAACTATGCTTTCACCTACTGGAGATGGGTGAATCTCTCAATTTCTGTTTCTCTTTTTTTCTTATTTTTCTGGTTTTAATTTGAATTTTGCACATTTTCCTATCAGTATGTGATTTTTTTCTTTAAGTCCTTGTGAAAATTCACCAGCATTTTAATCTGCAGTTTTGCCAAAGATACACATTTTCGCAAGCAATTTATCCTACTGCAATGCATTCTGTATGCTATTTTTATTTAAATATGCTTTTTATGTACACAAGCATATGCTGCATATAATTTGAATAGTAATGGGGGATTTACAACAAGGCAAGATGCCAGGGGTATGAATAGTTGTGACTGATTTTCCCTGATGGACTGATGGTCACCTGGATGACCAATCTAGTTGCTAAACAAGGCGGTATGAACTATTGTAAAGGTGGTAGAAATTACAGGCCATAGCCCTGTTCCATTTAAAGGTAGTCATAACTAACTTTCACTGAAAGCAAAAGGAATGATGTAAATGGAAAAGGCTTCAGTGGGGATTTTGGCCTCCAGGTTATCACTCCTTTGTGGAAGGGGCTGAAGCACATACCAAAAAGTTGGATTGTGCAACTGAAGAGGATGTTAAACTGCTATGCATAGCTGGCAACCGTTCCTTATTTGGCGGGAAAGTCCCTTATCCCAGCGCCGTGTCCCGCTGCTGTCCCTTATTGATGATGTCCCTTAAATTTCCAGGGTTTCAAAGGAAGCAGCTCCTCTCCCTCCCTCCCTGCCGGCCAGGGAGGAGGGAGGCTCCAACTGTGTTGCTTGGCTGCGTTGCTCTTCCAATAAGGAGTCTAAGAATGACTGGGGGGGTGGAGCTTGCATGCCTTGTGCCGATCAAATCGGCCGCATTGCCTGGGGACTCGCTTTTGCTCAGCGCTTCCCAGTGGAGAGGTGACGGTGGTTTTCCTTGCTGCATCCCCTTTGCCGGGTTGCTGTGCTATGGGAACCACCACTTGAGGCTTTGTTTGGCTGCTGGCTGGGCTTTCTGCCTTTGGCTCGGAGGGGCCAAAGTTGAACATAACAGTGCCCAGAAAAGCCCTTATTTTGGTTGCTTATCCCTTATTTTTGAGGCTGCTGGTCCCTTATTTTCAAATCTGTAAGTTGACAGCTATGCTGCTATGTTATCCTAGTTGTTGTTTTTTTAATGGGCTTTTTGCAGTTAGGAAAGTGACATGGAAATGCCCCAGAAAGTGTAGGATGAAGGAAAGTTCGGCAGGAAGATATGCCAACAGCCCCCAAGAAAATCAGAATGAATGCAGTACAAACGCTCATTGTTGTTGCACGGTCTCTTAATCAAATCAGAACAAATGGTCAGTAAAAAAGGACAGACATATTCCAACATATTTGTGCAAGCAAATCGGGATGAATGCTGAACAAACAGGTTGTCCATCCTTTAGCTGGAGCTCTGTAGACCAAATGAACAGAACTGGACCATAGATGCATTACAGGCTGCAGAGGTTGTATGAACACAGCTATCTATCTGATTCTATGAAAATACATGTATATTTATTAACACTATTGTGCCTCATATAATGAAAAGGCACTGTTTCTGCCTTACATACACAAGGCAACACAATGACCAAGTACAACAATGCAAGCCGTTTCCATCAGATAAGAAACTGTTATTGTTTCAATAATTCATTTGCAGTTTTATGAAGCATTTCCGTATCCTTCTGCTGTGCTGAAGAAGAATTCTACGAAACAGTGGGTATATCCGGAATCACTGTTCACTACGTCTGTTTGCGGACCACTTCGGAAGCGTTGGACGTCATAAAACAAAGCTTTATGGCTTGTTTTCATCAGATAAGAATCGGACACATTGCTTCTTTCAGAGACTTGCATTGTCTACAAAGACTTTCAGAGACTTATAAGACTTATGTTTATTTGGTTTCTATGTTTTCAAGAGAATCCATCAAGAGTGCACATCTAGTGACTTTCAGAGATTTATAAGATTTCTGTTTATTTGATTTCTCATTTTGTTCAATGTTCTGTATAGACTATATAAAGAGTTTATATTGATATTGCATTGTTGTACTTGGTCATTGTGTTGCCTTGGATATTACTGATAATTGTTTGCAACACAGGGGTTTAATTGTTTGGTTACTAACAGACACAAGAGCACACTATTCCATACTCACTGAATTAAGTGGAAATGGCTTCCCTTTCCCCCCATCCCCATCACTTCTTGGTTCCAGACCAAGTGCCCCAACTAAAATGAACCCTCCAAACGTGCACTGAAAAAGTAGGGGAAACTCATCCCTTTACCATCCCTAGGATAGCAAGTACACACGGGTTGTCAGAGTGTGTTCATGGTCAATTAATCTGTTATGCATTATTGAGGATGCAGTTGACACCCAAGGTCTAGTTTAGCTTTCCAGTCTGCTATGATTCTCACCGATGCCTCCTTACTGTTGCTTTCTTCTGAGGCTGATTTAGCCACCTTCTGAATGATGGGAGCAATGTTTGTAGGCCCATAGAGCTGGAGCTTAGGCAGGCAGTTCTGATACGCTTCGACCACTCCTTGGATCCCTTACATTAAAAGGGGGGAAAGAACAGCAGAGAACGTCACAATCAATCATTAAGGAAAATATATTTGGGACAACGATTCCGTAGAGAGAGCCCCTCGTTTCTTCCTCCCCGCAAAAAGTTTCTTTTGAGCGATTCACGCCATTTCGCTTCCACTATCCTGCCAATTTATTCTGCGCAGCTGTGGCTCTGAAAGGTTTGCTCAAAGCCTCTCTCTCTCTCCCCTGCTGACCTGACCTCTTTCAGATGTTATGTAATATATAATTCATGAGCCAGCTTTTCTCCTCGCCAGCAGCATTTAAACGGTGCATTTTGCAGATATTAACCACCCTGGATGATATTAAAACACTTTGCAGGATGCATTAGTTTTCTATACCTATAGAGGTCTTAAGAGCTGGGCACTAGGGGATGTCCTCTCCTTCAGCCCTGTAGATTTGAATGATTAGATGATAATAACTTTCTCTCTTGCTGCTTATAGTCAAATGTTTACTTGCAGTGAACCAGAGTGCAACAGACTGTGCCTTTTCTAAAGATCCATATTTGTTATATCGGGGCATATCTGAAAAAACATATCTGGAATCCTATTAAAATATTTGTCCACCATTTGCATAATTAATTTAAACTGTTCATATCCAACCTGGCTAGCATGGCAAGGTGGCTCGTATTTAAAACGCCACCCATGTTTTATATCAAGTCAGACCATTGGCCTATTTAGTTCAGTATTGTCTGCTGCGCACCAGGGCTAGGGGAGACCTGGGGTACCCCAAATGTCATGGGGCTCCAGTTACCATCATCCCTGACCACTGACCATGCTAGCTGGGATTGATGGGAATCTGGAGGACTATGGACCCCCACCTTAAGACTACACTGCCTTGGTAGTGGCTCTCTGGGTTTTCAGACACTGGTTGTTCCCCAGATGTCAGGGACTGTGCTGAGGAGGAATGGTGGGAGCCACCCCCTCCTCCTGATCCTGAATCTTCCCAGAAGCAGGAGGACAGGATAGATTTAGAACAGTGGTTTGAGAAGGGGCACAATTCAGAAAGGAGAAGCTGGGAAATACCGGATGGGGAACAGCTAGGAGAAGAAACACTAGAAGGGAGAGAGTTAACAGATTCACAGTCTCTGGATAGTATTCATCCCCCCTTCTCCCAAGTTATGGAGAGCTCAGAAAGCATTACAATAGAAAGCACAGAGGCTACAAACTCAGATTACAAGACGTAGGACTGATGTAGATTAATAGGGACGGAGGGGAGAGTGACCCTTAATTGGGAGCACCACCATCCTGGATAGATGCTTTCTTTTGTCCCTCGCTGTGTTTATTAAAGAAACTAACTGGTAAGAATATCCTTTTGTTTGATCTGCTCATTTACGGCCAAGGGGGAGCAAGCCGATTCCCCGAAGCCTGACACCAGCTAGAGATGAAGGTGCCACAATCTGCAGCCTTTTCTACATGTGGCACTGCCTCATTTTATCTGTTTAAATTGAGTTTTAGACAACAAGCTATTTCCCCTTAGCTAACTGGTTCAGAGGTTCCCCAACTTCTTTGGACCAGTGGGTATATTTGTAAACCAGAGACGTTGTTGTGGGGCACCATACATTGCACCCAAGCATACACTGCAACCTATAATACTAGCTCCAATTAAATGTTTCTTTCCAGGATAATTTCACTGAGGTGGAAGGGACCCTGTGGAAGGCCAATGAGAGTGCATTCGCCATATGGCCATTCCCTGCACTAGCTGATCAAAAGGAAGATTAAATCATAGTGGAAAGAGGGGATTTCCATTTCATTTCATTTCACTTTTAATTTGCATACCACCTTTATATATTACTATACACAAGGCGGTTTACAAGCTGAAGAAACATCAGAATATACAACAAAGATCACACGCCATCGAACAATCTGATCCCATACCAAAAAAAGTCAAAATAAAAACCTAACTTTAAAATTAACAACTTATATCAAATAAAGCAATATTCAATAATCCAGTATAATATACTAGGACATGATAAAATGAAATACCAGCAAATGATAATTACACAGAAATTCACTCTTAGCAATTACAACAAATAATTACTAAACTATAATCAATAAAAAGAACAGCAAGTCACAATGCATAAAATACCAGAATGCGTACAAGACCATGTAAAAGAGGAACAAGACACACAACTTAAATAATTATTAGTAATTTTTTTTTAAAAAAAACATTAACCCCTCCCACTCTTTCACTAGAAGGAATCTAACAACTATAACTGTGTCTCCGTGACTCACATAGCATGTCCTATTATTTCTCAGAAGATAATGCAAACAATTAACAGGCACAAAAATGACACGGTCTATAGCCAAATATATGTTACATCAGACACATCAGTCTCTTTGCCGTAACAAAATGATTACCTGCACATTCTGGGTTGTCTTCATTAAAGTTGATTGCAAAATCATGAGAGACCTATGGGCAACACCCCCCAAAAAATTAAATAACATTTTATTTCAGAAAAGTGACTCAGGTTTTTCCTGCAGCAGATGGAGAATTCACACAGGCTGTCCCTATATAGACAGTCACTGAAAATTGTTTAAAGGATCCTTTTATTTTTCATTTGAGTGTATTTAATTATCACACGGCCTCATACTTGTGGAATTTGTGTCAAGCATCTAGATTGCATGACTTGCTTTGATTGGAAAAGACAGCCAAATTAATGGTGGTCATTATTATTATGTTCATTACTTTCCCAGTTTCAGACAAGCTAATTCCATTGTGCATGTGTGAACATATGTGGAAGTAATTAAATTTTGGCTTAAAAGTGTATGTGACCAAACTTAACATTTCTTTAAATGCTTGTGAGCATAATTTTCACTCATACTACTAAGCACTTAATTGTACCATTTCAAGTGTATATCTTCCCAACAACGTATCAAGAGAAAAATGAATCAAATTTAATGTTCAAATATCACCCCCCCCCGCTTTTGCAAATCTATGCCTGTTTGAATTTCTAGCATCTTATTTGTCTTATACTTCATTCACTTCAAGTAATGTTAGGAAAGGCACAACCATGTATTTTCCCTGTAACTGCAAACAAAGCATGTCTGTGAGCATAGAATGTGCGTGTTGGATGACTTTGCCATTACGTTTAAAAAGGGCCGCAAAGAGCATAATTCATCTTGCGCTGTGTTATTCCATTAAGGTTGTAAGTCAAAACAATATTATTGGCAACTGTAAATAGAATATCCAGTCACCCAGTCCAGTTCAGACATCACATTAAAGCAGGTGTCATACTAAAGCAGTTGAGCATGATGAGACGAAGTAGCAGCAAGCCTTGGGCGTGTGTGCTCTCCTCTTCTCCTCTGATGTGGAGTGAGGAGGTCAGAAATGTTCCCTTCTGATTTATCCGCAGCTTAGCTTGTCATCCAATGGTTAATAGTAACCATGGTTTGTTGGTTTGTCTGTTTTAAAAAACCAGCCTCATACTTCCAATGCTCTAATCAACCACAATTTATCAGATTTGGTCAACATGACAAGCAGTTATTCTAAGCTGAAGATTTCCCCCTTGCAACCACACTGGAGGGATAAATTGGAGTGCACAAGCTCAAACCTTACTGCAGCTCATTGACATTGTGCTAAACTATGGCTTGGCCTGATGTCCAAAACGGGTCAATGTACTGTATGTCCCCAGTAAGAACACTGCCATAAGCACTAATCACTAATAGAGAGCATTTCTAGCCTAGTAACTTCAGCTGTCTACTAAAAATGGATATGCATATTTCTTTATTTTCTATTGTTCTAGCTTATGCAATACCCCCGCCATCCTTTCACACAATGACCACCTTTGCGCTGGTTCTCAGACGCCATTCTTGAATCATAAACCATATTGCTTCGGTTCAAATGCATTCGCACCGCAAAGAAGAAGAAAGATTCCTCTGAGCAATTACATTAATCCTACCCCTTTGAAGCATTTGACACGCAGTCTCGATGCCAAATGTATTTTCTAAAAATAAGATTTGTCACAACAGGAGGGGGAACTGAGTGGCATGGGAACCCTGAAATATGGTAATATTCTGTGAAGAGCCAGAGGCCTTCAAATTATCTTCATTGGCAGAACGTTTAGGACTCGCAATTATGCACACAGCAATATAGCATGCACAGAGAGCTTCAGAGCTGCAAGAATCTCGGGGAACTCTAAAACTGCTTGGTGATCTCCCCCAGAGCCTTCAAAATCCTTTCTCAACTTGTATGTCTTTTCTCCAGCAATCTACCCCACCAAGAGAATGAGGAAGATTCACCTGTACACCTACTTTATAGTCTGGAGGTATCCTGGCTCCAAAACCGTAGACTGGGAACATTTTGTCGCTGAAATCAAAAGGAAAACAAGGATGCGCTGTTATACTAAGCCCTTTTCATTTATTCACAAGAATATCTCGGTGCAAAAAGAAGGCTTGAAATAAGAACATTAGAAAAGGCCTGCTGCCTCAGGTCAAAGGCTCATCATTCTGGCACACTCCTCCATTGTCTCCTGAGACAGATGGATGCCAACTCTAGTGTGTAAATGCTACCCTTAAAGGTAAAGGTACCCCTGACCATTAGGTCCAATCGTGACCAACTCTGGGGTTGCGGTGCTCATCTCGCTTCATTGGCCGAGGGAGCCGGCGTACAGCTTCTGGGTCATGTGGCCAGCATGACTAAGCCGCTTCTGACAAACCAGAGCAGCGCACGGAAACGCCGTTTACTTTCCTGCCAGAGCGGTACCTATTTATCTACTTGCACTTTGACATGCTCTCGAATTGCTAGGTTGACAGGAGCAGGGACCAAGCAACAGGAGCTCACCCCGTCACGGGGATTTGAACCGCCGACCTTCTGATTGGCAAGTCCTAGGCTCTGTGGTTTAACCCACAGCGCCACCCGCATCCCATGCTACCCTTACCCACCCAATAGAATACAGTGGCTCCTCATTGTGTTTTCTGCATGGATCACAACAAACGCAGTGCGTTGTTGCCTTGTCCTGCACCATATTAGCAATCAGTCTCAGAAATACAGGTTAGCATCTTTTACATGGTGGTGATAGTCCCGTCCCCCTTCAACAAGGGCTGTCAAAAGCAAAGTAGGTGATGCAACTTTAATTTTATGTTAATTGCCTGCTGATTGCCTACACTGATTAAACGCTGGTAGAAGTAGGGAAGCCCTGTTTAATAATCAGGAATTGATATGCAAAAATATTCAGGAGACTAAGAAATCAGAACAACAACAACAAAGATTAAAAGGACTGAAAACTCTGCTCTACCAAAGAGGAATCAGAATTGGATTTAGAAACACCCTCCTCCTTTTCTTTATCTAAAGGGCAAGAGGAATCAGTTAGAATAGTTCAGGATACTGTTCTGCCCACAATTACATGCACATCTGTGTGTGCGCGGAACTGTGTACCCTACTGCAACCTTGGTCTATTCACTTGGATAATACCACGGGCAACAAAATCTCACTCTACTCACTAATCCTATGATTGAAACAACCAATAAAGGTGGTATTCAACTAAGGTTTACTCAGGGTAGAGCTGCTGAAAACAGTGGCCCCAACCTAGCCATGTTCTACTCTGAGTGAAAACTAGTTGTGTAGTAAACTACATATTCAGAAGTTTCTGGTACCCTTTGATATACATAAAGGTTCTGAAGCCTTTACGCCACCATATAAGTTTCATAATAATTTCCATTTTAAGAAGGCAAATGGCCCTGCTCTTTTGTTAAATCTAGCAAAAGTTGCTCATCTTCTATATCCTATTACCTACTAATTTCCTTTAACTCAGGTGTAGGGGACCTTTTGCCCCCCCCCAAATGTCTCTGAACTACAACTTCGCCCATCCCCAGTAATTATAACTCCCAAATGGTAAACTAGGTCCCTTAACTCCTGTTTACCTTCCAGCATATTTGTGTGGATACTAACATTGCGTTTCAAGAAGCTTCCTCTAAAATGCATAGCAGATTTCAAGTGCAATGGCTTATGTTCATTATTACATAACCAAATGCATTGATGGGCCTTGGAAAACTACAGTAAGATAGTAGAGTCGGTGTGTGTGTGTTTTTACAAGATCACATGATAAATGTTTAAAAAACAGATTAAAATATATGCACCTACTTTAATGACTGCCAGTTTTACATTCCACACCCCACCCCTACAAATTACTCCCGAGGTGCCTTGGGGAAGTGGAATCTGCTGACTATGAAAAAATGTGTGTCTATAATTGAGCTTTTAAGTGCACGGGGATGCAAAATGCAAGTGCGCTACCTACAAGAGGAATAATTAATGAACATGGGGAATACGCATGCCCTGAAGCTAACTTCTGAAAGGCATCTATGAGTGAATTAACTAGCCAAGCTAAATCTAAATACTAAACCCATAAATTTCACTGATCAACATTAAAAGAAGCTGCTCTGGCAAAACTCACGCTCGCTCCCCACAACTCCACGAAATGACTTCTCAGATGTGTAGGCTAAGCACAAAGATGGAGTAAGCATCTATTTTTAAGACAACCATCAAAGCTTAGGAATAAATGAGGGAGGAACAAAGACATGGAGGTGCCTTATACTGCTCCGCCATTGGGCCAAATAGCTCAGTATTTGTTATATTGCCCAGGCTAGCCAATGGGGTAAAGGTAAAGGTAAAGGGACCCCTGACCATTAGGTCCAGTCATGGCTGACTCTGGGGTTGCGGTGCTCATCTCACTTTATTGCCCGAGGGAGCCGGCATACAGCTTCTGGGTCATCTGGCCAGCATGAGTAAGCCGCTTCTGGCGAACCAGAGCAGTGTATGGAAACGCCACTTACCTTCCCATCGGAGCGGTACCTATTTATCTACTTGCACTTTGAGGTGCTTTCGAACTGCTAGTTGGCAGGAGCAGGGACCGAGCAATGGGAGCTCACCCCGTTGCAGGGATTCAAACCACCAACCTTCTGATCTGCAAGTCCTAGGCTCAGTGGTTTAACCCACAGCGCCACCCGCGTCCCTCGCCAATGGGGTAGACAATTGTTATTGTGGTATCATGGGGCAGCCAATTGTTTTAGACCAGGGGTGGCCAACTCCTAAGAGACTGCGATCTGTTGTTGAGCTTTTTTTTAGGAAGGTGGAAGGCCCATTTTGGAGGGGGGTCGGGTCAAAGTTGTTGAATTTTTTCAGGAAGGAGGTAAAATGTTGAGGGTTTTTTAGGGGAGCCACAGTTGTTCAGCTTCTTAGGGGGGAGCCAATGATCTACCAGTGAACTACCACAGACTTCCAGTGATCTACCTGTTGGACATGCCTGTTTTAGACTAATACTTGAACTAGGATAATAGGAGAGGGGGGTCTCTTAAGTGGTGGTCCCCCATTTGTGGAATGCTCTTCCTAGTGAGGTGCACCTGGATCCATCATTGTTAAATTTCAGGAGAAATCTGAAAACATTTCTGTTTGCAGCTGAAGAACACTGTTCCTAGCAACCCCGATATAACTGGATGCAAAGTTTTTAATGCTGTTTGTAGGATGTTTTAACTGCAACTGCTTTTAGGTGTTTTTCACTGTAATTCTTTTTATAATGTTTTAACTGTTTTAGAATATTCCTGCTTTGCATTCATTTTAAATTGTAGGTCTGTTTGCGACTCTGTGCTCCTTTGAGAGGAAAGCTGGGTAGAAACTGAATCCATCCATAGAATAGGTTAAAACACAAATAGCTACTTAGGATAATGTGTTGCAACAGGACATACAGCATGATGCTGTAACCAAATTCAAGCTGATAGTGTATCATATTTAGGGCCACATGTTAAAATGGCACTTTCATTTAAAGGTTATTTAAACATAAAGCTTCATGCACACATTTGCTAAGCTGGGAACACTGATTAAGCCTGCAGTCCTATTTATATACCTGGGAGTAGGTTTCAGAACTTCTGAGTAGACCCACCTAGGATGTTTAGCCAATCTTTCATTGCACCCACTTTGTAGATACAGTGAAACCTCGGTTCCTGAATGCCTCCGTTTTGGGATTTTTCGGCTCCCAAACGCTGAAAACCCGGAAATAACTGCTCCAGTTTTCAAATGATTTTCGGAAGCCAAACGGAGGCTGTCGAATGTTTTGGAAGTCGAATTCAGGGGACAGTGGTTTGACTGTACAGTGGTACCTCAGGTTACATACGCTTCAGGTTACATACTTCGCTAACCCAGAAATATTACCTCGGGTTAAGAACTTTGCTTCAGGATGAGAACAGAAATTGTGCTCCAGCGGCGCGGTGGCAGCAGGAGGCCCCATTAGCTAAAGTGGTGCTTTAGGTTAAGAACAGTTTCAGGTTAAGAACGGACCTCCGGAACGAATTAAGTGCTTAACCTGAGGTACCACTGTATAACAAATCAATGTTACTGCTACTATTTTTCTTATCCGAAACTTAGTTTACAATCTGAAGGGCTTGCTGGTAGTAGCTCAAAAGGAAAGACTAAATTGCGAGTCAGCTTCCAAGGAAGGGAAGTGCAATGGTCACAGGGGAGATGCGTAGTCACGAAGGCACAGGAAACTTCATTTCTTCTTTGCGCTCCCCACCCACAGCCAGAAGCGTTGCTTGTTTCATGCATTCTAAACTCGAGAACTTTCCTATTGACTGGAAATGCAATTCCTGGGATTATAAGGAGAATTGATGCCATGTGACTGTGGGGAAAGGATGGAGGAAGGAGGCAGTCAATAGTAATCATTTCTTATCCCTGCTCTTTGCTGGCACTCATATAATCGGTCGTTCTCCGGGGATTTCATTCCAATTTGCAGAAGTTCCATTTACGCTCCTCTAGCAGAGTTCCACTCAACTCTTTCACTTGCCTTTGAAAAAAGGTTTCATTACCATGCAAATAGCAATCCTTTGAAGCTGCCTAATTACTGCACCCTGTCGTGTAATACATGGAATACAACAGTAAACTCCTCGAGAATGATCTAGAAGGCATTATTAGCATCAGGGCTGACAAGGCACTCCCTGTCAACTTGACAGCCGACATTTCAGACTGGTAAATAGGTTCTGGGTACCACATACCACAAGGTCCTGTGTGAGTGCCTGGAGGTGGTTAGAGGATGGATGGCGGATAACAGATTGAGGTTGAATCCTGACAAGACTGAAGTCCTGTTTTGGGGGGACAGGGGGTGGGCGGGGGTGGGGGACTCCCTGGTCCTGAATGGGGAAACTGTGCCCCAGAAGGACCAGGTGTGCAGCCTGGGAGTCATTTTGGACTCACAGCTTTCCATGGAGGCGCAGGTCAATTCTGTGTCCAGGGCAGCTGTTTATCAGCTCTGTCTGGTACGCAGGCTGAGACACTACCTGCCTGCGGACTGTCTCGCCAGAGTGGTGCATGATCTAGTTATCTCCCGCTTGGACTACTGCAATGCGCTCTACGTGGGACTACCTTTGAAGGTGACCTGGAAACTGCAATTAATCCAGAATGTGGCAGCTAGACTGGTGACTGGGAGTGGCCGCCAGGACCACATAACACCAGTCCTGAGAGATCTGCATTGGCTCCCAGTATGTTTCCGAGCGCAATTCAAAGTGTTGGTGCTGACCTTTTTTCACACTGAAGAGGTAAGCAGATAGAAGCTCTGATACTCAACCAAGGATTCAAATGATCAGTGGGATTTTTCTGCACGCTTTTCTTGCCATTCTGTGGAATCTACGTATATGTTTTACATAAAACGCTTAGGGTGCCTTCAGAGTGTCACTGTTTTGCCGGAGAGATTTAAGCACATACCATAACTTATCGAGTTTGTGCAGTTAAAGTGGGTTCAAGAGCTGTTGCCACACTGCAACAAATCTGCTTTTAAAAAAAGAGTCAGACTTTTTGTGTTTTGGAACGTGAAGGGGAATGAATGAATGATTAACAGGGTATAAACACCCTGCAGACTCAGGGTTGCACTAAAGCTTGCAGCACTTAACCACCAGCTTTGACATATTATTTGAATGCTGTGCTGTAGAAATGACTCTGAAAGAAGTGTTGTTATCTTCTCACCTGTCATAGTCTTGGCAGATCTCCCCAACAGCTACCAGTGCCTTCAAGTATTCGTTCGGCTGATAGGGGTGGATATAGTGGAGTGAACAGCTGTTCCGGGGATCGCCGTTTGAGGCTGTAAAATCTATAGCTACCTGGAAAAGAATGGAGGGGGAAACAAGATATACTGTATAGCTTCTCTGCCGTGTGCTTCCGTCTTCCTTTTCACGCTTCCCTAAATCTGCCTCTGACTGTAGACCCAGGACAGGTTACAAATCACAAAAAGCAAAACCAGCATCAATAAAACTCACACAGCATACCAAAAAAGCAGCAACATTTAAAAGCAACATTTTTTTATTTTTACTATATATTTTTGTAGCCCGTCTTTCCACTAGACATGCGCAAGGCACTGGGGGGGGGGCGGGGAGGAGTGGGCAGGAGGAAATAAATTCACAATGAAACATAAAAACAGCAAATGGCAACAAAACAGCAATACAGATCCAGAATTGACATCAGCCAAAATATAGTAGAGAATATGACTTAGGATTTCCAAAAGGTCCAAGGCCTATTGAAAGAAGATCTTAAGAACCGTACTGTATTCAGCATGAATAGACATCATGTTCAATTCATTCTCAGAGGAGTTATCTGAGGTAGATCACTTTCCTCTGAATAAACAGAGAACTGAGATTGTAAGGTGGCGACTTCCTTTCCCCTCTAAGGCACTACTTGGCTTGTTTCCCTGAGGAATGCGGTGTAGTAAATGTTTTGGGACTACAACTCCCATCATCCCTAGCTAAAAGGACCAGTGGTCAGGGATGATGGGAGTTGTAGTCCCAAAACATCTGGCAGGTCGAGTTTGCCTATGCCTGATCAAGGGTGTAGATGGGTAGGGATTTGGCTTTGGGAACATCACTATTCCAGGACACTCATCCCAATTTCACCCCACTCCCACACCAACTTTCTACAAAGGGTAGCTAAGGAAAGATAGGGGGCCAAGAGTTGAACATGGATGGGTCAGGATAGGCAGTCCAATTACACAAACTGAAGCAGAGCTGGAGACCATACTGCCCTCCCCAGCCAAGCGCACAGACACACAATGGAGATATCTAAACAGAGCAAATGCAGGAGGAAAAAATAATCACACATACTCCAGGTGAAGCCTTCTAGAACAGCAGCTAAGGGAGCTCATCATCAATGATCAGAGGGGAAGGCACCTCTGACCCCCCCGGCAATTTTAGTGCTGCCAAAAATGCTTCTCCATCTTCCCAACTAATTTCCAAAGCAAACTGCAAATGCCGGCAAATCTCAGCATGCTTAAAGTAAATCACATTATTTGTTTCAAGAAAACTTATCGGTGTAAAACAAATGAAACACACCGTCTCTTCCAATTATATTACAATGTTCATTTGTTTAATTATAAGCTCAAAGCATGCAGAGCTTAATTTAATCCCCCACACTCAGGTGCTTTCAGGTTCACACATCTGTCTAACATAAAATCGCTGCAAAATTAAAATATTCTACATTGGGGGTATGTGTGTGTCTATCTGTGTGTGTCTATCTATATATACATATATCTCCACACACACACTCCAGGCAGTGTCATATGCCTACATTCATTTCATTCTCGCTGCTCAAACTTTATTATGATTACTATAAAACTAATAATTGGTATTTCACTTTCCATACCCAAATAATTTCATAAGCTAATTAACCGTTCCTCATTTCTTTTACCAGATGGGAGAGAGCTTGAAGGTGAGCCAAGAGGCAGAATTAAAATTTGAGCTTTGAACAAATTTTGATACACCATGCCCTCGTTTCTGAGAGACGAGAGTCATCTGGCAGTAAAAAAAAAAAAAAGTAAAAAAAAAGTTTTACTTAACCTTTTATAGAGCCCACGGTTTCTCTTTTTGGAAATGTCTTAGTGTTTTTCTAGATCACTGAAAATGGGATTGTGTCATCGTGGAGTCTCCTCAGTGAACCAGGACAAACATGCAAGACAAACGGGATGATCGTATGAACTGAAATAATAAAAATGTAATGGAAGTTTAAAAGGGGGGGGGGTTAGTCACACAAAGAGTAAAGAAGTTTCTACCTGAAGACAAAAAAATAACAGCTGGAAAGTATAGAGGAAGGAGAGTTGGTGGTTGTCAGCCAAGTCTCACAAGGCAAAGATGTCATAGGTAAAGGGACCCCTGACCATTAGGTCCAGTCGTGACCAACTCTGGGGTTGCGGCGCTCATCTTGCTTTATTGCCCGAGGGAGCCGGCATACAGCTTCCGGGTAATGTGGCCAGCATGACTAAGCTGCTTCTGGTGAACCAGAGCAGCGCACGGAAACGCTGTTTACCTTCCCGCTGGAGCGGTACCTATTTATCTACTTGCACTTTGATGTGCTTTCGAACTGCTAGGTAGGCAGGAGCAGGGACTGAGTAATGGGAGCTCACCCCGTTGTGGGGATTCGAACCACCGACCTTCTGATCGGCAAGTCCTAGGCTCTGTGGTTTAACCCACAGCGCCACCCGCGTCCCCTAAAGATGTCATAAGCAAGGCCTTATCTGAAGATTGTAGCGTATGGAGGTATGGATATACAGTGGTACCTCGGGTTACAGACACTTCAGGTTACAGACTCCGCTAACCCAGAAATAGTACTTCGGGTTAAGAACTTTGCTTCAGGATGAGAACAGAAATTGTGCTCTGGTGGCGCGGCGGCAGTGGGAGGCCCCATTAGCTAATGTGGTGCTTCAGGTTAAGAACAGTTTCAGGTTAAGAATGGACCTCCGGAACGAATTAAGTACTTAACCCGAGGTACCACTGTGTGTGTGTGTGTGTGTGTGTGTGTATACACCCCCCCTTACAACGGGTCACCCACCTTTTGCAGCCAGGAGGTAGTGCACTTTGAATTTTGAGAGAGTGCTGGAGGTGCCAGTCACAAAACCATAACATAACACTTAATGCCTGCCATGGGGGCAGGAGGAGGAGATGTGGAAGCCCTTGACTCTATATCAACCTGACCTATATCTCCCTCCTCTTGCACCTGTTCTTATCTCTCCAATCCCACAGCTTCTCCTGCCTCTGACCCTCCTCTCCTGGAAGTTACAGGCTCCCGCCAGATCACTGATCCCTTCTTCCCAGTCAGTCAGTCAGTCTGTCAGCCTCTAGCCCCACTTCTTCTTCTGCCCACTCATCAGTATCCAGCCACCACTCCTCTGTGCCCAGCACATAGGTCATCTCTCAGTTTCTCAGTTTCCCAGTCTTAAGTTCAGTTCCCCATGTCTCTACATCAGTTTGCTTTCTTAAAAAAAGTAAAAAGGGGTCCTCGTGAAAATGTATCAGCATTTTTGTTTGAATTTCTCCTTACACATTTTTGCATGTGATTTTTCCTGATAGAAACAGCTATTCCCCCTACTAAAATGCATCTGTGAATGTTACTGTTGTAAAAATATGCATTTGCAGGCACACTTTATACCCTGGGTATTTGCATTTTTGTATACCTTTCATGGGTGGAAAACTGCATTGCAAAATTTGGAGAAGTACGAGTCTATTTCGCTTCGCATGTTTTTTTCGGAAAGTGCAAATTAGCTACGTTCCCCATTAAACGTCAAATGAATCTCCCTCGTGAAAAAGGGTGTCTGCTTGCACAAACTGAGTCAAGTCAATTTTTTGCAGCTCCTCCCCTGCCTACTGCAGCCCTCCATGTCATATCTCATTCTACTGTAGAGCGTCTCCCAATCCCCGGGAGCCGGATGGGGTGGATAGGTGAAAATCAGGTACCCCAACATTTGTGAGTGGATGCACTTTAAAGTAAGGAAGAGCCAACAGTGGACACAATCTACAAAGTGTTATCCACATCACGCTGGGTTTATGGGCAACTGATTCCCTCCCTTGAACTGAATCAGAAACTTCCATTTCCCCACTCATATTTCCACTGTACTCAAAAGAGCTACATGGAAACTTCAGCTGTGTGAGCTATGAGATTATTTTCTCTTTGGCGTCTAATGCAATGCCACCCAATTGCCCTGGTCAGCACAGATCCAGATTCAAAGAGCATTTTTGCATAGAGGCATCCTGCCCTCAAAGGGATGGCTTGATCATGATGTCTTTTAAAATGATCCTGAAAGGACCACACATTTGCTTTTATTTATCAGAGAGGTTCTTTCCAGCCAAAAATGATGTGCTTACAAAGGATGTGCAGAGCATCTTCAGAGCACGCAGCATGATGCCACAAAAGCTCTCATTAGCTCTTCAAATTAGCAGGTACATCATACCATGGCTTTTTGTTCACAAACCCATGCTTAGCGTCTTGGCTCCCTCCCCTATCAAACAGCCTTTCAGATCACAGCTGCAGCTCATTGTCTGCACCCAACTTGAACTCAATGGAAACATAATTAAATTGAAAACAAAAAGAGAGTGGGCTGACTTAGGAGTAACTCCAGAACTCTGCACCTGTGGTTCGGAGAAAAACTGTCAGTAAAAAAAGCAGGTCCTTAATGCCGTTAAGGCTCCCATCAAATTATGGGGCCTATTTTCTTCTGTGGATATTGCAATAATTGTGTGTGCACGCACACGTTTTAAAAACAACTGGAATCATGCTAATAATTTTTAAGCAACAAAGGATGAACCCTGTTCAGCCAAAGTTGGGATGACTAAGTTCATTTTGGCAAAAGTGTTTTACAGGGCAATCCTATGCCTATCTCCCCAGATGTAAATCCCATTGAGTTCAATGTGCCTTACGCCCAGGCAGGGATGGGGAAGAAATTTGATTCCGCTTGCATTTTAAGGTGATCTTACCAGATTTGCACTTTAGCCATGCAGTTCTCCAAGCAATGTGTACAAAAAAGCACCTATTTGGATAAGTGTGCCTCTAAATGCATACATTAGTGAAAACAACATACAGAAATGCATTGTCAAAACTGAGTACTGAAAAATACATTTATTAGGAGAAATACACATGGAAATGAAAAAGAATTTTTATTAGCATTTTTAAAAATCACCAATTGCTGCAATGTGGAGAACTGAATTTAAGAATGGAAAAATGTACAACTGAAAGAACCAAAAATTGAAAGATGCGTTCATCCCTACTCCCAGCTTGATCCATAGGTTTCACTAGAACCTACAGCCCAATCCTAACAGAAATAAATCACACTAAGTTCAGTAGGACTAACTCCCAAGTAACTGTACACAGGATTTCAGGTTTAGTTGTGACAAATGTTACCCGGATTTGAGCCACCAGGTTTCCATATGTTTGTCTGCCCCTCATTTTCCTGGGCTTATGTTTTGGGGTGCCAGAGTGAATCTGATTTATCATATCCATTTCCCAGCTACTGTCATCAACGTAGTTTCTGGCAAGCAGAGAAGAATCTGAAGAATCATGCAAATAACTGTCCTGATTACTGGTGGAAGTGGAATGGCCTTGATAATGCCTTGGAAATGCCTGTTTAGTGCAGGGACTGACCAAGCGGGCGGCAGGGTTCGCGGGCCGGATTCATGAGCCCGATGGGCTGTATCCGACCTACGGTCCTTAGTTTGACAACCTCTGGTTTAGGCATTGGAATTGACCTGACTATATCTGACTCTTGCCCGCCATGCAGGAAGTCCGGTAAGGGTAACCACTGGTAGGGGGAGCCCCGTCGATCCAAACAACTCAAGCTCCCCCAGGGTTTCTGACAGGGTTGTGGCATGACCCTAGCCCCACCCAGGGCTTCGGACAAGATCATAGCTGTCAACTTTCGGATTTGAAAATAAGGGATCAGCAGCCACACCTGTCCTGGGGACAGTCTATGGGATATCTAACAATCCGGGATAGCAGCGGGAAACGGCGCTGGAATAAGGGAATTTCCCGCAAAAAAAGGGAAGGTTGACAGCTATGGACAAGATCCACACTCCCAGATTCCTTTAACGGAATACCCTTAAGCTTGGAGGGGCAGGTGATGGCCACACCTCCCCTCCCCGTCACACGATCAACCAGTGCCTAACTGCCAAACCTTACAAAGTTGTGACGATTGCTATGAGGTAGGCGAAACCAAATGGCCCTTGCCAATTTGCCAAGTGGAAAAATTCCTACCAGGCCCCTCAATGGAGACCAACCAAGGTCCATAGCAAGGCCAATATCGAAACCTGCGAATTAGGGCGGGCGGGCGGGCAGGCGGGAGATTTGAGGAAGCAAACTGACAGGAAGCTCTCCTGCTCGCGCCTCAGTTTAAATGGGGCCCGGCCACGCCTCCCCAGCCAGCGGATTGGCTGGCCGGATGACTGCGTCCCCCGCTCCCGGAGGGGAGTGGGTGGCCATGTGGTCCACCGTAACTCCTCCCTGCTGTGAAGCGGAGTGGATTTGCTGCAGGAGCATGGAGAGTGAAAACATGAAGAAGACCTCATTGCTGTTTGAAAAATTTGAGCGACCACACCATACATTTAAAGCACACAACTTCCCCCAAAGAATCCTGGGAACTCTAGTTTGTTAAGGGTGCACGTCATTGTAGTTCACAGGGTTCTTTGAGGAAGCCACACGCTTCAAATGTACTTTAAATGTGTGGTGTGCATGAAGTCCGCCTCAGAGTTTCTGTGACTTGGCAATTATGAGAAATATCTGCATACCGGCCCAAGAGCGTGGTTTTCAACAAAACTAGAATAGTAAAGCGGGAATGCAAAGAATAAACATTTAGATGTACATGAATGTGTAATGATAAATACATAAAGAGAGACATAACTGCAGAACAGGGTTGTTCTCGAATCTGACTTCAGTGAATATAACACTTGCTGTCTATGCAATTGTTAGCTGCTTGTAGGCAAAGTAATTCTGACACGCTGTCAGGTTTTAGCTGAACAGAAACAAGAATCATGCAAGCACCAGCATTTAAAACCTGCCATATGAACAAAAGTAGATAAAACACAAATAAAAGGCTTTTTACACATTTAAAAGCAATATTCACTATTTAAAATCCACATAACACTATATAATCTCCTGAGCAGTCATAAAACACTATGCGCGTTAATGCAGTGCACCTATAATAAATGCACACTTTGATTAAGGTAAGGTGTTAATGACTAATTCAAAACTTGAAATCTTTTTGTCTAATGTTTATTGAGGCTGCTATTCTGTATGTGTTTACTTGGGAGTGAGACCCATTGAAAACAATGGGACTTGCTTCTGACTATCCATGTATAGATTATGCTGCCACTCTTCCATGTGAACACAGCAAAAATGTACAAGACATGATGTATGGGGGGAAACGGTACCTGGTTGTCTAATTTTGTCCTGTGTGTGGGAAAAAAATTAATATTTAGTACTGTGAAAGCTATCCATCTGCTGTCCATTTAAAAACCACTTACTGTAAACTGTATTTGGCAGCCACCCATGATGTAGTCTAAGAACGAATGCATCTTGTGAATCTGGAAGAGAGCCAGAAATTCAGATTTAAACGGCACATTCTTAAATACTTCTTCATGTATTAAATGGGAAGGTACTTCTGTGAAGAAGGCATTTATTTAGAGCGGGGGGTGGGGCTTATTTTAGGCCAGATCCTTATTAATCCTCAACCCAGTGGGCCAACTCTGAGAACCGGACATTATTACGGGCCCTGGGACCTTAGGGTAAAGGGCTGGAAATAAATATATAAGCAACCCCCCCATGCTACATGTGGTAAGCAGCTATATGCGTTTTGATTGCACACAGGGAACAGAATGGGTTTCTGAGGATCAGCAGCAACTACATTCCTGAACAACAACTGTCATCCCAGTGAAAACACTGATCCACCTTGACTCCGCAACATCTGTTATGCTACCTCTGGGAGTCCCTCGCTATAATTAATTTCTGAGACATGTTTCAGTGTACTTTTTTACTTTATTTTAACATAGCAATGCCTACAAAATGCCTACAGTGAATTCAATTCCCTTTCATCAATTGGGCTCTTAACTTAGCTAAACACACACACACACACCCCCACCCTTCCAATTCTAAATATTGTGAATCTGTTCAAATGACAGCACCTTGCAGAGATTGAGAATGACAATGCCAGAGTTCTTGTAATTCTTCTTCTTTACTTTGTACTTGGGGTTTATGCACTCCCACTGTACCTGTGAAGACACAAACCGGGAGCATGAAAGCCGTTTCATGTAAGAATCTGAATAATTTATTCAAGTTGCATAATGTGCGCTCTGCCGATGAAAACAGAAATCACATGAAACAGTCCAAAGCTAAAGACATTTCTAAACATCAGCCAATCAGGAGGGAATTATCCCTTTTCCGAGACCTTCTGCAAAGTAAAACACCTGCATATCAATTTATTTTTTTTACAAGTGCCATTGCAAACACTGATTTGGCATGCACCTCTGCAAGCTATTCAAACATTAGGCTAACTCTGATGCCTTGTTGGAGCAGATTGAAGGTCCATCATGTATAGGGATGAGGAACCCGCAGATTCCCCAAGCCCTGCTGTAGACCAAATGGAAAGGCAAAGCCTGTGTAAATGCTTCATAAGACAACCCATTGCCACCAGCTGTACTTTGATGTGCGATCCAGGTTTGTATAAATTTCTAAATATATAAAATGCATACACAAAAATACAGCTATGGCTATTTAAGCTGTTGTGCACTGCCTCAGTGAAAGTGCTTTAGTCTCCTAACCAGTCAAGCCAGAATGCTTATTTTATCAATGTAGTCCTATTTAAGTCAATGCAAATTTGTTTTTCAGTCTAGCACGTATATATGGACAGAACATACATCTCCTTGATGTTATCATGCTTCAGTGTTTATAATCCATTAGTGGGTCTCATTTGCTTCCATAAACCATTAAACTGTGTTATGCTGTTTAAAAAACTCAACCACTTACCCCAGGGTAAAGCCATTAGTGCTGGAGTCACAAATTGCTTAAAGGGACAATTTGCACTTAGCTGGCTTTACTCCCGTTGAAGTTAAGGAATTAAACACATTTTCTGCAAACACAGGCATTGTAAGGGATTGGAAGACACCAGCTATGGGTATGTTGAAACAAAATTTAAAAATTCCTTCCAGTAGCACCTTAGAGACCAACTAAGTTTGTTATTGGTATGAGCTTTCGTGTGCATGCACACTTCTTCAGATAATCCTATAATCATTGGATGTGTTGCGTCGTGCTGATGGGAGTTGGGGGTCCAACAACATCCGGTGAGGCACAGGTTCTCCAGACCTGCGCATAAACCAAAGGGAATGGCGGGGCCAGTGAAAATGTGTCAATAAGACAACCCCTTGGGCCTTGGCCATCAATTTTACTCTGCTATGCCAACCAATCTTGTGGTCTCACTGCCCACATGGGAGATTCCACTCTGCACACTGAGCTGCAGATGGGACATGTTGTCTCCCCTCTTTTCATGTGTCCACAACTTTGGACTGAATATGATGCTGTTCTAAAAGGAGTCACCACCTCATCCGCAGGACACGATAACTAGTATGTAATATATAAGCAGTGCTGCTGCAAATAAATATCGCACATCTTTTCCTTTTCTTCTGCTGGTGCTCTTTGGATTTTCATCTTTTGGTCATCTGGCCATGAGCCACTCAGGCTGCTGTTCTTAGTGTATAAGGTAAAGGTAAAGGGACCCCTGACCATTAGGTCCAGTCGTGACCAACTCTGGGGTTGTGGCGCTCATCTCTCTTTATTGGCCGAGGGAGCCGGCGTGCAGCTTCCGGGTCATGTGGCCAGCATGAATAAGCCGCTTCTGGCGAACCAGAGCAGCGCACGGAAACGCCGTTTACCTTCCCGCCAGAGCGGTACCTATTTATCTACTTGCACTTTGACGTGCTTTTGAACTGCTAGGTTGGCAAGAGCAGGGACCGAGCAATGGGAGCTCACCCCGTTGTGGGGATTCGAACAGCGACCTTCTGATCGGCAAGTCCTAGGCTTTTTGGTTTAACCCACAGCGCCACCCAAGTCCCCCACTCAGGCTGCTGTTTTGAGTGTATAGCACCCAGCTAAACTGCCGGGAGGCTAAACTGCCGGGAGGCAGTGGAAGACAGAAGTGCCTGGCGTGCTCTGGTCCATTGGGTCACGAAGAGTCGGACACGACTAAACGGCTAAACAACAACAACAAAGGTTAAAACATGCTCTTTTTTAAACACTGCTGTCTTTGAGCCTGCAGATGGATCTGAAAACTAAACAAATTTAACAAGAGGGACATTTCCATACTCTGCCTGACTCAGATAGCTGAATGTGGCCCAGCTTCCCCAGGAATTCAAATTATTCATCTTGTGAATTAATTCTCTTTTCCAGTCGAGGTAACAGACAGGACCACATGTTTCTGGGAATTTTTCCAACATCTTCATTTATTTTTTATTGCTTTCTGATCTCTGGAGTACTTGCTCAAGTCCAGCCCCTCCTTTCAGATCTGATATACTGTATCTTAATTGATGGTTTACCAAAACACTGGTGGGAAGCAAATTTGACAGGGATGTACTAGTCTAATAGTTCATATCTGCCCAGATGTCGGACCTTAGGGTGAAGGGTGAGGATAACAACAACAAAAAGTAGTCCTGTGTGCTATGTGGACACCCATTTGCACAACATTTGCTTATGTTAATTTATACAAACAGATGCAAATTTAGAAGTAATTACTAACATCAGATTTAATTTTTACAGTTTAAATAGAAATACTGCACATCTCACCATAGTAGGAAAGGTTATGATCAGGTCTGATTGGTTGCTGGCCGAGTGCTAACTGATGATGCGAAACTTCTTTTTTTCATATTTTATTTATAATTTTCAGTTTTATACATTTCAATAATTTTACAATCATTTTGAAACTTCCTCCCCCCCTTCCTGCGGTTCCTCAAATTTATTTTTAATATTTTTTGCATGCCCAAATTAACTTAATTTGCTCATTTATTCATCTACTTTAAATATATATACCCTTATAAAACTGCAGGTTATTACAATAATCCTGCCAATGTTCTTATCTGTTTACAGTTTGTAAATATTCCATAAACCATTTCCATTCTTTTCCATAAAATGTTTGTTGTTTTGATTTCTTATTATTCCGGTAAGTTTCGCCATTTCTGCATATTCCGTAAGTTTTTGTATCCATTCTTCAATTGCTGGGACTTCTTTCAATTTCTGGGCAAGTAACATTCTTGCTGCTGTAGTTGCATACATGAATAAATTTCTGTACAGTTTGGGTAGTTCTGGGAAACTTCTAAGCCCCTCCTGCTCTCCCTTCTTATGGTTTCATCTCTTTAAACTGGACAAGGACTGGAGTAGACAAACCTTCAAACAGAGAACTGTAAATTAAGACATACGGGAACCCCAGTGCTTTAGTCAGATTCAGCTGGTCACCTTTTGTACATGGCATGGGAGATGACGGAGGTATCTATCACCTTGTCCTTTGCCTCAGGCAGCAAAATGTATTGAGCCCGTGCCGTGTACGAAATTAGACTACCAGGATTTGTCAAGCCCTCTTTCCAAGCACCACTGCACCCATTTTACAAACACAAGTGAGATTCCTTGCACTCAGGTGAACTGATAGAGAATTCTTCAGTAATAAAGCAGACAAATCTTGGAGTCGGAAGCCCTACCAGATCAATCTCACGATGTCAGCTAATGAGCCATTTTGTTATCAAACATGAGATTGTTCACATTTTATTTTTATTTTTTTGGAAATGAGAATTTTATGTACAAAAGTGACATAACATTTGGATGCCCTGTGGAAATAATTTAGAAGACATGTTTAAATGTTTAGAATATTTCTGGATTTTTACAGTATTTTAACTACAATGAATTGAAAGTCCAAGAGGCCTTATTTTGTATGTACCACATAACAAAAACAACAACAACCTCTAAGAAATGCAAGGCTATTGTATTGTCATATTGCCTGCCTCAGAAACCTAGAAGTATTAGCCTCAGATACATGAATTTTTCAGATACTTGAAAACTAGTTTTTCCTCCATAATTAAAATGGGTGTAGGAAGTATTATCCCATTTAGGCTGAAATCCAGCACATACTTACCTGGTAGCTAGTCCCACTGAACTCAATGGGACTGGCCACTGAGTAGCCATGAACAGGATTTCACCGTTAATATAGAAATTACATCTAGTTTTGACACCTCAAATCAGGCTCCAGATGTTTTTGGCCAAATCACCTCCAGATGTTTTTGGCCTACAACTCCCATGATCCCTAGCTAGCAGGACCAGTGGTCAGGGATGATGGGAATTGTAGTCTCAAAACATCTGGAGGGCCGAGGTGGAGGAAGCCTGCCTCAAATGTTCCTTCACAACTTGTTTTTGAACTTCCAGAGATTAGACACTGTTTGTACAATTAGACTTTAACATATTAATAATTATAAACTATCATAGTTAAATAACATCCTCACCTTCTGGAAATTTCCATGGAGATTGCAAATGTTAGAGGTTTTCTCAAAAACCATCTACTTGTTGTTTTTTTCCTGTCACAGAAACAGATTTTCACTTATATAATATTCCCATTGCTAACTGTCCAGGTGCACCTTCTTTTTAAGGCTATTTTTAAACCCCTCAGGCTCCCTTGAGCTGAGCAGAGGGATTTCCTTGGCATTTTCAATTGCCTTTATCAAAATTTATAATCCAATTACGTGCATGATGTACTGATATGTGTGCCATAGGGTTTTGTGTGCGTGGGTGGAACTGTAGGAAGTCACCAAACAGAAAGGTGAAGAAGTTCAGATTTCTTAATAAAAAATGACCGAAACAACAAATGATTCCAGCGTTACACACTCATCAGGAATGATTGTCGTTTCTCATTTTCAACAACAAAATAATGCAACGAGAGCCTGCTTAATCAGGCCCATTACCCATCTAGTCTAGCATCCTGCCCACAGTGCCTCTCCCAGGGGCTTATGGGAAACTTGCAAGCAGGATATGAGCACAACAGCATTCTCCCACCTGTGACTCCTAGCAGCTGGTATTCAGAGGCACACTGCTTAGCATGGAGGTGGAACATAGTCTTCATGGCTAGTAGTCATTGACAACCTTGTTCTCCCATGAACAGTCTAGCGGCAGCTAGACTGGTGACTGGGAGTGGCCGCCAGGACCACATAACACCGGTCCTGAGAGATCTGCATTGGTTCCCAGTACGTTTCTGAGCACAATTCAAAGTGTTGGCGCTGACCTTTAAAGCCCTAAACGGCCTTGGCCCAGTATACCTGAAGGAGCGTCTCCACCCCCATTGTTCAGCCTGGACACTGAGGTCCAGCGCCGAGGGCCTTCTGGCAGTTCCCTCATTGCGAGAAGTGAGGTTACAGGGAACCAGGCAGAGGGCCTTCTCGGTAGTGGCGCCCGCCCTGTGGAACGCCCTCCCATCAGATGTCAAGGAAATAAGCAGCTATCTTATCTTTAAAAGACATCTGAAGGCAGCCCTGTTTAGGGAAGTTTTCAATATTTAATGCTGTATTGTTTTTAACACTTGATTGGGAGCTGCCCAAAGTGGCTGGGGGAACTCAGCCAGATGGGTGGGGTATAAATAAATTGTTGTTGTTGTTGTTGTTGTTGTTGTTGTTGTTGTTGTTGTTGTTTTCTAATCCTCTTTTAAAGCCACCCAAGTTGGTGGCCGTTACAGCCCTCTGTGGGATCCAGTTCCAGAGCTGCGCTGTGTGAAGCGCTTTCTTTTATCTGTCCTGAATGTTCCAACGCTCAGCTTCATCTAGCATCATTAGTCCAAATTTGTGTGGATAGAGCTGATTCCAAGAAGTGGTTTTGTCACAGAGTTGCTTATGCCGTCTTTATTGAAGCTTTTACTTCAATTTGTTTCATCTAACACAGCAGAAGCTTATGAAAGCAGACAAGTACCTAACAAAGGTTTCTACACCCTACTTAATAAAAAGTGTTACTTACTTCCTGTCCTGTTTTTCTAGAGAAACAGGTGCCAGAACTCAGCATGAAAGTCTCCCCTGTTCTCTTATAATGACAACGGTGCCCACCTGAGAGGGGCCGGAACTGAGTTCCAGAAAGTTCCAGCTGAAAGAAAAGCCCTGCTTTCTTCTTATTATATTGCTCTTCTGTTGCAGGCACCCCTGAACTCAGCCATCCAGCTGTTTTGGGACTACAACTCCCATCATCCCTGACCACTGGTCCTGTTAGCTAGGGATGGTGGAAGTTGTAGTCCCAAAGCAGCTGGAGGGCAGGGTTTGGGGATGCCTGTTCCATTGCATAGAGCAGGTATTATGAATGAAAGCTTCAAAGAAGCAACCAGCTGTTGGAAGATGCAAGTCTTGGAAAGCTGGCTAAGCTGTTGAGCTCAGAAGATTCTTTTGGCTAACTATGATCTTCAGGGGGAGTGTGGCAACAGAGAAACCTATGGGGGTGCATGAAAGGTAGTGATGTGAGTAAACTAAAGAGCAGCAAGGAAACACATCTGCTCAGAAGCTCCATTCAGTGTGGTTGATTTAGGCCAGTGTTTCTCAACCTTGGGTCCCCAGATGTTGTTGGACTACAACTCCCATCATCCCTGAGCTCTGGCCTTGCTAGCTAGGGATGATGGGAGTTGTGGTTCAACAACATCTGGGGACCCAAGGTTGAGAAAGGCTGATTTAGGCAGCAGAGAATGAGTAGAAATATTATCTCAATTAGCTCACCTGGCCTTTGTCAGTAGTCTTCAGCCAGTTTGGTCCTGGAACCAACCTTCAAGCCAAGCATGCATTTGGGGACCCATTCCTGAACATGGTTATGATATACTATCTGCCTGGTGTGTTGTGCTGCTAATGCAGCCCACCTTAGGTCATGGCATTAATCAATGGTGAGTCTCAACTCAACTTAGTGGCCTAAAGATTCAGAATGAGGATTAGACCCCTCCAAAATGTTTTCCTTCTAGGGGAGTAGGGGGAAAACCAGAATGAGTGGGATGGAGGGGAGAAGCACTCCCTTCACCCATGAAGCATCAGTGTCACTACTGCAGAGAAACAAAAGAATGTGCACTGGCACGCTGGATCAGAAGTCTTAATATCCTTCCCACAAGCAAACTGACAGCTTTCTAGATCTAAAGGTTGCTAATAAGTTGACCTGATAAAGTGGGAGGTCATCTGCCCAGGGAGGAATAAGAAGTTTTCTCAGAAATTCCAATTAAAGTCTAGCTCAGCTCTGGTTCCCACTGAAACCACCGGTGACATTTTAACACAGCACAGATGCAGGAGGCAAAAAAGCAATCTGTAAGGCAGAGGTGGTGAGAACAACTGTATTATTTTCTATAGAAGAATCAGTCTGAAATAAACAACATATGACTACTTGTTAAGATGTCTACTAGGTCTGAAATGTGATGACAGGTGGGCATGGATAAAGCCTGAGGAGGAAGAATGAGAACTGGGAAGAATGAGACACGGTCGCTAGCCTCAGCTAGCCCCCCAACCCAACTGAACAATCAGTCCAGGGGGGGGGAATTCCTGTCAGCTTCCTCCTCTTTAGCCTCAGTGTTGTTCCTTGAAACTCAGCAGGGAGGATGGGAGCAAACCTAGAATAATCCAGCTTTGTTTGTCGTTGGTTCTGACTCCACTTCCTGTTGGCCTCTCTTGCCTTCCGCACTATTAGTCTCAATGGCCACCAGCCACCACTGGATAAAGCGCTTATCCACACAAGTGTTCTGCATGAGCCCTGTCACATATTTGCCATATAGCTGGCTCTTTCATGTAAAGGTTTGGTGTTAAATTGGCTCCTTGCATCTAGTCCCGGGGCACGTTGAGTATCAGATTTGCTCTGGACCCCATATAAGTTCTCAGCCACCCTGGCTGCAGACAGGCCTTGCTGCCTTAGTGTTATTTCCAGCCCTGCTACAAACAAAATGGTTTACATGGTTTTGTAAGAAGACTAGTCCTCCTGTAAACAATTAGCTCATTTCGCAGTCTAATAAAATAGAAGTCTAGAGTTTTTAGTGTGCATTTTAATCACTTTTTGTCCACATTGTTGTTGTTTAGTCATTTAGTCGTGTCCGACTCTTTGTGACCCCATTGACCAGAGCACGCCAGGCACTCCTGTCTTCCATTGCCTGCTGCAGTTTGGTCAAACTCATGCTGGTAGCTTCGAGAACACCGTCAAACCATATCGTCCTCTGTCCTCCCCTTCTCCTTGTGCCCTCCATCTTTCCCAGCATCAGGGTCTTTCCCAGGGAGTCTTCTCTTCTCATGAGGTGGCCAAAGTATTGGATCTGTCCTTCCAGTGAGCACTCAGGACTGACTTCCTTAAGTATGGAGAGGTTTGATCTTCTTGCAGTCCATGGGACTCTCAAGAGTCTCCTCCATGATCATGAGTCTCCATGATTCAAAAGCATCAATTCTTCGGCGATCAGCCTTCTTTATGGTCCAGCAATCACTTCCATACATCACTACTGGGAAAACCATAGCTTTAACTATATGGAACTTTGTTGGCAAGGTGATGTCCCTGCTTTTTAAGATGCTGTCTAGGTTTGTCATTGCTCTTCTCCCAAGAAGCAGGCGTCTTTTAATTTTGTGACTGCTGTCACCATCTGCAGTGATCATGGAGCCCAAGAAAATAAAATCTCTCACTGCCTCCATTTCTTCCCCTTTTGTCCACATTACTTTTATGAAATTGTCTTAAGCACCTAAGGTGCTTTCAGACTGTCACCATTTTCTGGTGGGAATCAATAATATAGTAGCAAATTTAGGCAGTACAATTAAAGCTTATTTCAGACTTTATGCAATCAGAAAAAGTGATGAGGAAATGCACAGAAAAGTGTGAGTAGCACTTGTTTGACACAGTGTCATACAACATTCCTGTAAGCAAATCAGATTGAATGCTCAATAAACAGCTAATATAATCTAACGTCCCAGCAAGCTTTGTGCAAACAAATCAGACAATCAACCATCTGGAATTCACCCTAGTGAAAAGCTGGCTTGAATGCTCATATCACTGCAATAAAAGGGACTGCATGTTTGGCAAGGCAGCCCACGCATTAAACTCTGCTGGCTATGGATTGAAAAGGTTAATCTTTTAATTCTGCTGTTGCTTTTAAATGGCACACATTCACCTGAGCCTACCTGTCTCCCTTCCAGGGCTCCTCGCATCTCCTTGAATGTTGAACTGAATTCTCCAATGAAGTCATGCTTGCCATTGGAATCCCAGTCCCAAACTATGCACTGAAAGAAAAAAAAAGAGAGAGAAATAATTCTTCCCCTTCCTTTAAAAAGATTTTTGGAGCTGATTTTATCCAAAACAAGCCATAGACCCAGTTTGTGTGACATGGTAAGCCAAACAATAGCTTCGTAATACCTATGTGAATAATAATAATAATAATAATAATAATAATAATAATAATTTATTATTTGTACTCCGCCCATCTGGCTGGGTTTTCCCAGCCACTCTGGGCGGCTTCCACAAAGACCAAAAATACACCAAGATGTCACACATTAAAATCTTCCTTGAACAGGGCTGCCTTAAGATGTCTTCTGAATGTCAGGTAGTTGTTTATCTCTTTGACATCTGATGGGAGGGCGTTCCACAGGGCGGCTGCTACTACCGAGAAGGCCCTCTGCCTGGTTCCCTGTAGCTTTGCTTCTCGCAATGAGGGAACCGCCAGAAGGCCCTCGGCACTGGACCTCAGCGTCCGGGCAGAATGATGGGGGTGGAGATGCTCCTTCAGGTATACTGGGCCGAGGCCGTTTAGGGCTTGAAAGGTCAACACCAGCACTTTGAATTGTGCTCGGAAACGTGCTGGGAGCCAATGTAGGTCTTTCAAGACTGGTGTTATGTGGTCTCGGTGGCCGCCCCCAGTCACCAGTCTAGCTGTCACATTCTGGATTAGTTGTAGTTTCCGGGTCACCTTCAAAGGTAACCCCACGTAGAGCGCATTGCAGTAGTCCAAGCGGGAGATAACTAGAGCATGCACCACTCTGGTGAGACAGTCCGCGGGCAGGTAGGGTCTCAGCCTGCGTACCAGGTGGAGCTGGTAGACAGCTGCCCTGGATACAGAATTGACCTGCGCCTCCATGGACAGCTGTGAGTCCAAAATGACTCCCAGGCTGCACACCTGGTCCTTCAGGGGTGGGCTCCCAGAGATATTACAATGGCTTTGCTCCTGCCTGGTCCTTTTTACTCATGGTTAAGCTCTCTCCTCACTAAACACAAGGCGGAGCCAAAGTTTGTACACAACAAGGAAAAGGACCATGGAAGAGCAAAGTTCCAGCAAGCTCCTCTCTTGGAGACCACACGTTCAAATCGTCTTGCTAAGCCATAGTTGGCTTACTGTGTCATAGGGCTGTTGGATAATTTTGTCAGGAATGGAACTGGAACGAAAATCGCCACAATATTCATGTTAATCTGAGGTCAGGAACAGAAATTGTGCATGTGAATAACAGCAGTATTTGCTATTGTATTTTTTCCCCGTCCACAAACATTGCTGTAAATAATTATGCTACGTTCTGATTGCTCTTTGGGCTAGCCCCACATTTAAAAACAGGGTCTCTAAAAAGATAATGTCTGTCTTAGGCTGCATCCCGTTTCCTTCATTTTTGAAGTGATTATGCAATACTTGAAAACCGAACTGTTTTTTAAAAGTATTTAGGGTCTCCCCCACATACATCTGAGGTCCTAAGCTGTGCATAAAACTGTACTGTGTGTATAAATCTGGCACTGTCTCTGTGTTATGTTGTTTCTGCCTGGCATTTTGGAGTTTTTTTCCCTAACAAATGCTGCCACTTCCCCACTCCTCCCCCCCCCTTGGGAAAGTAGCAGGTTGGGAGGGAAGATCCAAGCAGATGGGTTGATTTGGATAGAAAAATTGGCAAGGATTTCCTCCAGTTAAATGCAAAGATAAATATAAATACAAGCAACTGCGATATATTAATTAATTCCTATGCACAGTACCTTTGGGCTGCTGAAGACCAAAATTTTAATATATGGTGGGGTACAGAGTACATCTGTGATCTAAGAAGAACTCCTGGGGGGGGCAGGGGAGCTGCTGAGCAAGATATTCTGGTGCCTTTTCAGACTCAAGAGGAAGTGGGAAAAGAACACGACTGAAGTAGTCTGTCATTTTTCACCACATAAGTCTACAGCTTCTGCTTTGACCTTTATATCCCGAAGGGACGGAATACGCTTGAATCAGGTGCAGGAAGTACATCTCTCTCTTGAAAACCGACAAGCTTGCTGACAAGTCTGACAGAGATAGGAGTGATGTGCCCCTCTGTGCCCAGGTTTGTATGTTTAGAGGTATACAGTTAAAAAGAGAGATTGCTGTGAAATCTGCCCCCCCTCCCCCATTTGATAAGGTTTCATTTCCACATTGCCAGTGCTAACAGGAAAAAGAACACACCTGGACAAGAAAATTGCGGGCAAGGAGAAACGATTTAACCCCTTTTCTGTTTGTTGTTCTCCAATTGGATAGAAAGTCCCTATATCTAGCACTACTATGTGGGAGGGAGCGGCGCAGAAACCCCAGCTGCTTTGGATTAAAAACAACTGAAGGGGAAAATAATGGTATTGAGTCTTAAGGTGCCTCACTCGCCCCATACATTTAAAGATCTATTATGTCACTGATTATATCATTTGGGTGGGGTTTTTACATTTACATACAAGGCAGAGAAGGGTTTCTTCTTCTTTCTTTTATCAAAACAAAAAAATAAATAAAAATAAAAGGCTTTTCCGTCATTTCAACCGGCGGCTCAGCTGCATTTCTGGGGCAGAAGGCTGATTGGAATGACATTACAATGTGATGTAACATCATTCCCAAAGGCGCTCTTGAGGAATCTCCCTACGACTGCTGCTACATAATGATGTACTGTTTCTCCCAGGAGTTTTCTGTATCTGGAATGTGGCCCAGCTGCTGAGACCAGTCATACTGCAAGGTTGCCCCCCCCTTCTTTTGGTAAAGCAAAGAAAAAAACAAATCCTTCATACGCCTCTCATTTAAAAAGATCACCCCCAGAAAAATCTGTTCCCAACCCCCAGAGTTCTCAAAATACTCTGTCCACTTCCGTGGGTGGTCAAATGGTTTGTCTCTAATAGACAATACTGACAACAGTTATATAATTATATATTGTATTTTGCTTTGGTGAAATGCGGCATTTTTTCCATTGTGGTACTGGCCAGATGTTGTTGGACTTCAACTCCCATCATCCCTGACCTTTGGCCATGCTGGGCAGGGCTGATGAGAGTTGGAGTCCAACAGCAGCTAGAAGCTACTATGTTGGCTACCCCTCCTCTATTTCCAGACTTGTTTGATTTTGCCTCTTTGAAAGGATACAGAATTAAACCTGTTCTCCTTGGAGGAAGAGAGGGGAGCTTAAAGGTAAAGGTAAAGGGACCCCTGACCATTAGGTCCAGTCGTGACTGACTCTGGGGTTGCGGCGCTCATCTCGCTTTATTGGCCGAGGGAGCCGGCATACAGCTTCCGTGTCATGTGGCCAGCATGACTAAGCCGCTTCTGGCGAACCAGAACAGCACACGGAAACACCGTTTACCTTCCCGCCGGAGCAGTACCTATTTATCTACCTGCACTTTGACATGCTTTCGAACTGCTAGGTTGGCAGGAGCAGGGACCGGGCAACGGGAGCTTACCCTGTCACGGGGATTTGAACCGCCGACCTTCTGATCGGCAAGTCCTAGGTTCTGTGGTTTAACCCACAGCACCACCCACTAAAGACACAAACTCAGTTTTAATTTTTCCAGGGATCTTCATTCATAGATAAACAGACAGACAGTCAGATAGACATACATACATACATACATACATGTATTACACACACACTCACAATCAAGATTGTGATATCAAGATGATATGCTGCTGGCATGGGAGCCATTCTCCCATGGTAGTCCTTCTCTTGTTAATGTCATCAGGATAATTGCGAGCAGCCCTGGGACATGAGCGATGAGCCTCATACTCTCTCCGACAGCAATACCAACCCTTAAAACACCACCCAAAGCTGGTTTGTGATGCAGTAGCCCCATGCCACCAGGATAATGTAAGAGGAGCTTGCTCCATGGTGTAGCTAAGGGTGCAATTCTGTGCACATCTGCTTGGGCACAGGTTCCACTGAAGTATATGGGCTTTACATAGAAGGGGAAGAAATGGAGGCAGTGAGAGATTTTACTTTCTTGGGCTCCAGGATCACTGCAGGTGGTGACAGCAGTCACAAAATTAAGAGACGCCTGCTTCTTGGGAAGAAAGCAATGACAAACCTAGACTGCATCTTAAAAAGCAGAGACATCACCTTGCCATCAAAGGTCCATATAGTTAAAGCTATGGTTTTCCCAGTAGTGATGTATGGAAGTGAGAGCTGGATCATAAAGAAGGCTGATCGCCGAAGAATTGATGCTTTTGAATTATGGTGCTGGAGGAGACTCTTGAGAGTCCATGGACTGCAGGAAGATCAAACCTATCCATTCTGAAGGAAATCAGCCCCGAGTGCTCACTGGAAGTACAGATCGTGAAGCTGAGGCTCCAATACTTTGGCCACCTCATGAGAAGAGAAGACTCCCTGGAAAAGACCCTGATGCTGGGAAAGATGGAGGGCACAAGGAGAAGGGGACGACAGAGGACAAGATGGTTGGACAGTGTTCTCAAAGCTACTAACATGAGTTTGACCAAACTGCGGGAGGCAGTGGAAGACAGGAGTGCCTGGCGTGCTCTGGTCCATGGGGTCATGAAGAGTCGGACACGACTAAACGACTAAACAACAACAAACCTTTAGTGTATGTTTGTGTGTGGGCAATGAATAGTGCCTCCCTCTCGTTAGCTTACTCCTATAATGCCATTTACTGGAATGTAGGGAACTGCCAACTACTAAGTGGCACTACTGATCCATCTAGCTTAGCCTTGTTATTGGGTTGGTGGCTTAGCCTGCCTGTCACCTTGGGGTCCCCTCCAATCCTGCAGCTTCAGAGCTGTAAGAGAGGATACTGAAGTGGTGAAACCAGTCCCTCTGTTAGGTTAACGGCTCTAAGGCAAACCTGCTAGCTGGGTCTTGTGGAGTGCTTTGCAAAGGGTTCTGTATGTGCCCTGCAGGATCCTTGTGGCATCAGGAGAGACTGGTGGGCAGGGCAGCCCACCTGTCAAATGCGGCCTCTGGAGGGAGGCAGGGGGCAGTTAACCATCTGGTCTGTTGCTCAGATCCAGTTCCCCCACCCCTGTTCTAAGGAA